ACTTTGAGCTATGAAAAAAATGGTGATTTTCCACGATGGGAATCCTCTTAATCAATGGGAGATCTCCAGGATCCTAAAATGGAGGTACGTTAGTACCATATTTTGGGCCATATTTTGTGGTGATATTCCCTTACATAGGCCTGAAAAATAGGCCTTATATATGGTAGGTACCTCCAATCAATCGGATCCTGAAATGGCCATTGATCTTATCTTCACCCAGATGGCCGGCGACAGGTCTTTCAGTTGCAGCGGGAGTTGCTCCAGGAAAGGACCAAGGCAACCTGGGCCCACGAGTCAGGGGGAGCCTGAAAAATCCAGCAGACTTACGTAGGAAGCTTTACGCTATAGGTTTTTGATATGGGGGTTTCCTGAAATCATCCATTTATAGATGGAATAGATGGATTTTCCATGAAATAAACCATCTAGCTATTGGGGTAGCACCATTTATGGAACCCCCCATACCGGAAATGATGGGAAACTGATAGGTTTCTGAATCCAAAGGATGGGATTCGACTCACCAAAGTTATGTGGATGTTTTCATTACTCATGGTGGTAACAATTTCATAAACCATCCCTCAATTTTCCCACTTTTATAGGTGGTATCTTTACCATTCCTAAATATGGGTGGTTTTATGGCATGGTTTTTCCCACATGGGTTTTTATCCACCAAGACAGGAGATTTAAGCAGCAAAAGATGTTGTGGAATCCGCCTTACTTGTGGAATTTTTTGAACAAACATGGAGAGTTATGCAGGAACACTCCACCCTCCAACACATGGGTTTGGAAGGTGCGACATAGCACAAATACACCTCCCCGAACAGCAAAACAACGAACAGCACTTTTCGGGTCACAAGGTGTTATCAGCCAATAGATAGAAGGGGGACGGACAGTTTTTCTCAAAAGCACAAAATTCATTGAGAGTCAGTACTTTGGTCCTGCGGTTGATCAAACACATTTTTCAATGGGAATTCCAGGATCCTAAAATGGAGGTACTGTACCATATTTTGGCCCATATTTTGCTGGGATATTCCCTTACATACACCTGAAACATAGGCCAAAAATATATGGAATCGGTACCTCCAATCAGTCGGTTCCTTTGAGTCATGGCCATTATCATTATCATCAATTTTCATGGTTAAATTGGTTAAATTGGTTAAACCTCAATTTTTTATGGTTAAACCTACATTTTTCAGATGTTGCTTGCTCAGTTAGCGCGCTGAATTTTTCCTACGACAAAGATCTCCATCAAAGATCAAAGCGATGAGAACTGCAAGCAGTACCAAATCCACTGGTTAAGTTAGAAGGGAGAAAAACAGTTGCCTAGCCATGGTTGTGTTAGATGGTTATGTAACAAGTTAGTAAGTTACCATGGTTTTTCTATTTGTTACATAGCCATGGTATAGATGGCCCATAGAAATAGATGGTTTACCGAACTTAAAAATGGGTGGATTTTCCATGGCGAACTGTGAATGTCATAACCAGAGGGTAGAACAAACGTGGTTTTAATGTAAATGTACCCCCATCCCGAAAAATGAAAAACATATTTTTGGGTCTCCCAGACCAAACATGTTTGTTTCTTAGATAAGAGCCAATTTAGTGGGTCAACCTTGAATGGCAGTCTAAGTCTTTTGCGATTAAAATGGGACTGTTATAACATATTTTTTTTTGACCCAGACGTAAAGCAGGGTGTCCAAGACTGGCAAACTGTTGAATTTATACCCTGAATCTGTGAAACAACCTTTGGATCCACAACTGCAAAATGAACTGCATGAGATCCACACAGCGATCAGGTGAAAGCTTTGTCCGAGGACACATCTGCGACTCTGGGGGGAGCGGTTTAAGGGAGTTGGAATTCCGCTCAAAAAACATCTGGTTGGTGGTGACTGGAACCATGGAATAATGGTTAATGATGGTTAATGATGGTTAATAATGGGATTAATAATATGGTATTATCTGGTTGGTGGTGACTGGAACCATGGAATTTTATGACTTTCCATATATTGAGAATAATAATCCCAACTGACTAATATTTTTCAGAGGGGTTGGTTGAAACCAGCAACCAGACATGTTGGAATTCCGCGGTTGTGTTATGAACATGAAACTTGGAGATGTGATGATCGCGAAGCGGTAAATGATACAGAAACCATTTAAGATTCTGGGGATACGATGGGGATAATCAATGGATTGGTTCAAGGGAAAATCTTAACCGGTTTCACCATAGACTTTCCCATGAAGATCATGGGGCTTAAAGCAGGTTTCAATTATAACAAACCAATCCATTCTGAATCCAACATATCTCAATAGATCCCAATAAATTATCCATTTTTTCATGGTGAATCCCAATTTTTCATGGTAAATCCTCTGAATAAACTATCCACGCTGGCTTGGCGATTGATCGGTTGGTGCCATGGGGAAACAAAATCACAATTTCCCAATAGTTGGGATGATTTTAATGGGAATTCACCAACCAAAATGATGGTATCAATAGGAAATAGCCTCTGGTAATTTGTTACATAGCTATTGAACATGGCGATAGAAATAGTGGATTTTCCTATGAATAGCATGGTGATTTTCAATAGTTATGTGAAAGTTTACCAGAGGGTAAGCATGAGGGTTTGTGTTCATGCTGCGGATGGAACACTAATGATAAAAAATCCTGCACCACTTGGTAACTAATGGTAACTATGAAACATTCTAAATAGTGGGACTATAGTGGGATAAACTATCTATCAACTGGTGCAGGATTTCTTCCAGCCACAGTACAGTACAATGGCAGTAGTCAATGGATTGGTTTAAAGTTTAAAAGGGAAAATCCTAACCAGAAACAATGTCTTTATTGTCAAATTGGTTGGACAGTTCCTATCAATGTTCCCTTCAAGCCATTCAATGATAGTAAGCCTGATCTCAACCATGATAGTGTTGATAACAATGTTGATTCTAATTCTTATACTGACTTCAATGATAAGAATGGACATCACTGGATGGTGCTTTCTAATTACTCTCCGGTCAACTACCAGTTTGCTACTGAAGCCATGGCCCATAGAAATAGTTGAGTTACCTATTAAAAATGGTGATTTTCCCATTAAAAATGGTGATTCTCCGAATTTTCCCATTAAACATGGTGGATCTTTCCATCGTTTTTTCTATGTTTACCAGGCCGGGTTTTCTCTTGGATTTTTCATCCCAATAGGGGGGAATCTGTGCTTCCAGGATCATCCCGCGCATCATGGATGGTGGATTTATACTGGAAAATCCCAATCGAAAATGGATGAGAACTGGGGGTACCCCTATGACTTAGGATACCTCCAAATGATGAGCTTCAGCCTGGTGATCGTGAGTCCCCAATTCGTACATAACATGTATGGCTTATAACATATCACTATGGCTACTAGCCAGTTATGGAAAGTGGGGGAACCGAAAAAAAGTACGAATGATACAGTATCGCAACTGTCCTCTTGGTAGACTTATGGGCCATTTTTTTAATGTCTATGGAAGTATCTATATCATTCTATATCATTTTTCTTGATGTGTGTCTGTGTGTGTTTACATGAACATTACCCTCTGGTAATTTAACACATCTACTGAAAATCACCTGTTTTAATATGCAAAACATCAAAGTCAATGGGCCATTTTCATCCATTGCCAGAGAGTTCAGAATTGCCAGAGAGGGTGTATCTCCGACAACTCCGATTGGAGCATAGGAGCTGGAAAACCCCATGAATGTTCATCGCTGGAGAAAGCTGGAAGGCTGGAAGCTGCTGGAAGCCATGGCCCATCCAGGATTTAAGGAGTTTAAAGATGTTCATGTTCCATATGTGAAATTGCCAGGGGGTATACGATCCATTGGTGAGTTAGGAGATCTATCCAGTGGTGAACGGAGGGAGTGATTGGGAGCGATTGGGGTATGAATAGATTCCCTTTTTTCTTATTTTTCATCAAAAGCCAGTTGGAGCTACGAATGGAGTTTCCCAACCATCTAATAGTATAAGGTACCCTTAAGTGATTGGAATTTTTCCAGATATGATTCGATCGGAGTTTTTACGGGCTCCAACTTCCGTTTTATGCAAACGGTACCATGGTACCCCATTTTGTACTCCCCCATTTTCAGTCAGACCCATTGTGGCGTTCTCCGTTCTCCGTTCTCCCATGCGCGCAATGATTAATAACTTTCCGTGGTGGGGATACCGGGATACCTATATTTACATGTTACATCTATTTACCATTATTTATCAACCAGTATCATGGGATGGGAGCGGTGTAATTTTCACGCTTCATTTGTTGCTGTCTGTGACGCCATCGCCGGGTCGCCGGAATCGGAGATCGCCATGAGGTGGAAGGTTTTGGAGATGTTTAACGAATATTCTTACAATGTGAGGCCCCCCAGTGATGTGAACGTTGGTTTAGATTCGCCCCAACTAGTTCGTTATAAGTACCATAAACATCCATAAACCATAGTGAAATTGGAGTTATAAACCAACTTAGCTATCTTGGGGGCCTCACATTGTACTGGTGCTAAACGTAGGGAATGGATGGGTTGCTGGGGGTTGCTGGGATGATTATTACTAGTGATGAAATGGATCATTCCCGAAAATTCCCTGCGTTTAGCACCAGTAAGTATTGATATAGTTATAACTATTAATCATATTATAGTGATTAACCATATTATAACTATAGTTGATTACCATTAACCATAGATTAACTATAGTTCTTCAACTATAGTTGAATCAAGTAACACTTCAACAAAGATGGCTATGCACTGACCTTCAAGATCTTTTCACCCCACACAAGCAGCTGCTTTTCCGCCGCCGTTTTAGCGGACCATGAATGCCTATAGCATGTGAATCAGCCCACATTGCCCACCCAAAAATTGCCAGCTTCCAACCCACAGATGGTGGGGAAAAAAAAGAAACACCAGAAAAAGGCCGAGAGATTTTGAAGGCCGCGGCGATGATATGTCAACGTCGCAAGAAATATGGAACAGCAACTGTTTTGACCCCCATTTGCTGCAAATTTGCAACGCTGTCTCGATGATGGATTGTGCCATGCCACGTATTCTAAGGTGGGAACGTTCGGCCGGTAGGGACCTGGAGAGTGGTGGCAACTAATCCCATCCTCGTTTCATACTGAACATCCCATAAATCATCCCCTAACCATGATTGCTTGCAGGTGTTTAATACGAGGGGAAGTGATTAGACTGTACTATATCTAATCTGGTTGGTGATTTGGAACATTTTTTATTTTTCATATATTGGGAATAATCATCCCAACTGACTTTCACTCCATCATTTTTCAGAGGGGTAGGTTGAAACCACCAACCAGTAATGTTGAATGGAATAGTAGAATCCTACTAAAACAATGAGTCGGACTCTACTTGGTGGCTCATCCCACGGCTCGTAAGTGGGATATAACCCCAGTGATTTACATGGGATTTTTGTAGGCTTTATCCACTTATAATCCACTTATAATTGGGGTGAACTAACACACTTACGATTCGTGAGATGAGCCACCAAGTGGGTTTGTCTGAAAATGTTGGGTTAATCTTCCCAATGAAATAGCCATTTAAAAACGGGATAATGATCATTACAGTAACCATTGGGTACAATGGGGTACACGACATTTTCAGACACACCCAAGTATTGATTCCATCTGTTTCCGAGGGTGCCATTAATGGTGACTGTCCTGAAATTTTCAGGGCTGAATGGTCTCTGAGAATCCATGGGATTTGCATCGCTTCCGAAGCATGGCATTGATGTCGCTGAGGTTTTTTTTCCTTTGTTTTGTTGGGTAAACCTGACATTTATATACATTTATCTGGTTCTTTTGGTTTCGAAGATGTTTTATTTTCCATAAGATAATCCCAAGCCCATTGACGAACTCATATTTTTCAAGATGGTTAAAACCACCAACCAGTTATGTTGGTTAAGAGCCTATTCTTGAATATGGGTCTGTCTAAAATGTTGGTATACTCCCAACTTGTGCCATATGAGCCAATTTTGATGAGGACTATTTATGTTTATGGAGTTTTCCCAATGGTTTTTCTCAGACTAAACCAGCAATTTCAACAGCTTCGAATGGTCGAATTGCCGATGTTTCACTGGTTAAATCCTAAGATGTTGGTTACTTCGATTCCAATTGTCCTATAGATTCACATTCTATGGTGGTTTGGAACATGTTTTTTTCCATTCAGTTGGGAATGTTGACAGATCCCAAGTGACTTTTCGTAAGTCCATCATTTTTCAGAGGGGTAGGTAGGTAGGTATACCACCAACCAGTTATAAATCCCCATTCATAATCCCCATTCATAATCCCAATTCATAATCCCTATTCCCAAATCCCTAGATCACCATTTTCCTATTCTTTTCCATTGGGTTTTTTACTCATCATCCCAACTGAGTCCATCATTTTTCAGAGGGGTAGGTTGAAACCACCAACCAGTATGATCATATATCCCATCATATAACCACAAAAAAAACCAACTATTATTGGTATTATATATTATAACCTCTATTATGATATAATCCACTATTATGATTCACAGAAACTATGCCCAGTTTCTAGGATCAGAAGCCCCATTTTTCCATGCTTTCGAATGCCAACCTCGCAAGCTGTTGCGGCTGCACCAGGCTCTTTCTAGCATTCTTGGTGCTGTTGCAGGGCCAGCAAGTGGATCCGAAAGGGGACGAGGAGGGGATATGATTTGATATGATGGGTAGCGGTGAAAGGTTGGTACTGTGGGAAAATCATAGGAAAATCATAGGAAAAACAGGAAAATACACTATAAATGGATGAATTATCCCATGGTTTAGTCACTAATGTGGGTAAAACAATGCCATTTTTACCAACCATTTGGGAATGGTTTCTAGGTTAATCAACTGGATGGGTACTTTAATTCTGTAGTCTTTTGGTATCAATGGGATTATCTACGTTCACCAGCTAAGAATTTGATTTTTTGCAGAGTATCTAAGATTGGCCATGATGATAGATTATGTTATTTTTATTAGCCCTGAGATTTCTATAATAGGAACTTAATCTATTTCTTTCTATTGGCCACTAATAATTGATTAGTCCCTATAATTGGCCATGGTTTATACCACCTATAAAAGTGGTGATGGCTGAGGGATGGTTTATGAAATTATTTACCCACATTGGAGATTTACCAGGTGCCACCCTGATGGCGGTGATGGCGATGTTGGGGAAAAAAATCCCCATCATAGATTACTATACTAGATTATACTAGTATTTATAGTGTATTATAGTGTATTTTCCCATCATTTTCCCATGATTTTCCGATGATTTTCCATGTTGGTTTAAAAAATCCCATCATAGAAACCACCTGATATTTTAGTCCATCATCTGCCAAGTTCTCCTTTGGCAGGTTTCTGGAGGGCCCCATATATATATATATATATGTATATATATATATATAACGACCAATGCCTGCTCTCCCGAAGCCTGGCCATGATGGTAAATTTCTTGGAAATTATCCCCCGAAAGAGCCAACTATTTAGGTTAGTGAAATATTATAATTTACCCAGATATATGTATATTTAACAATGATGATATGATGTTGTTCCATAGCAGACTCTTAGTGAATTTTCAGGTATGCGGTTCCCATAGAATAGACCGACATGTCGTGGGTTATCCCTTTTAGAATTGGGTGAACTGACGAACTAACTGGTTATTGACTAGATATGATTCGTGGGATGATTCTCCAAGTATGGGATGTACCACATAATTCATCCATTATTGTTGGCTATAATTACCATGTTATACCCCATTTTTAACTGTTGAAAAAAACATTGTTTTTTTTCTGGCGAATTTCACATCGAACCAATGATGATTTGGAGAATGCCATGCGAAACGCTAAGTCCATGGATTGGAAAATAAGCATTTGATTACCTGAGGGTAGTGGTTAGAAGCTGGGGCCCCAGTGATGTTTTTTGGTTTATAAAGCCCATTACCCTCTGGTCAACTAACATAGCCATTGAAAATGGCCATAATGGTGATTTTCCATGGTTTCTTGTATGTTTACCAGAGGGTAACTATAGTTGTAATGACCATTGTATACGTATAAATCAACTTTCTAGTTATGATCATTAACTATAGATCTACTATAGTTATAATATGTTATAATATGTTATAATGACCATTAACTATAGATTAACTTTCTGGTTAAACTACGTTCCATTACTGACCCTTTTTTCCAACCCAAGTAACGACCCTTGGAACTCCAATTTACTCGGCGAATCTCCCAGGATACAAAGAATGCTGGCATCCGCATTTCAGTGAACGGAGCCTTGGACGGTTTTAAGAAAACTCCCGCTGAGGTTTTCTGTAAAAACTCATGGTAAATTCATGGGTTATTAATGGTAAATGTTCCCATCGGATTTTCCAAGGAGATCATCCATCCAAATTTGGGTCAATCCTAGGGATATTAATGGGAATCCATAAGATTTGTGGAGATATCGTGGATTTTAAACAACACAATATATATATAGCCTATATATAGCGCTATGATAGTTGGGGATATGATGCTAGGTAAATCTTGGATGGGTAGAAACTAATCCAAAAGAGTCTTTTGGTATCAATGGGATTATCTACGTTTACCAGCTAAGATTGACATAGATTGACCATGTAATGGGATATTAATGGTAAAATAAGATTTAACGGGATATGAATGGTGATCATAGGATATATCACCAATAAAAGTCAAGTTACATGGTTTACTGTATATTGGTTTATTTTCCCAATTTGAGGAGTTAACAATGATTTTTCTCTGGGTGTTAACCACCAAGGTTACCAAAACCTTGGATTTTTCCGATTGCTCCACCAACAATGGGGCATCTACTGTGATGAATTGTGTTTTTTTTAGTGGTACCCAAAAAACGCAAATCTAAGACATAGAATGTGGAAAAAGAACGGATTTGCGTACGAAAATGACAAAAATCATGGTGGATTTTGCTATCTCTAGTCAATTGACTTGAGGGTAGGACTTCCGATCACAATTGGGTTCCTATCCTGTTGGGTTGGTCTTTTACAATGGGGGATACCCCGAAAAAATGCAATTTTCATCAAATTTGAATCAAGTGATGTTGGTGGGTTTATCACTGGATTTATTTTTCTTCCGTATGATTTTCAGGTATGATAAGGCTGTAAACATACAAAAAGCTATTGAACATGGCCCCGGTCGAAATAGTTGATTTGCCCAGCTACATAGCATGGTTATTTTCCCATAAGTTTCTGGCAAACGTTTACCAGGCCGGGTAACTATAGTTGTAATGACCATTCTATAACTATAAATCAACTTTCTAGTTATAATGACCATTAACTATTATAGTTACTTTCTAGTTATAAGAGGCTAATGTTTGAGTTTGAATCACATCATCCAAAAATCTTCGAGATTTTCTCCGGTCACTCTCCCCATGGAACCATGGCTTCACACGGCAGGGGAAGACACGGCCCAGTTCGTGATGTTGGATTCCAGATGGAGTGCCTTGGCGATCTGACAGGGGGAGATTTTTATCAGGTGGTGATATGATGTGTATGGGATCTATATATTTGTATGGGATTTATATGGGATTTATATGATTTATATGGGATTTATATGGGGTCTATAAGGATCTATAAGGATCTATAAGGTATATTGAATGGGATCTATAAGGATCTATAAGGTATATATGTATAATTAACTCATTTTTCAGATGTATGTATATGTAATTCACTATAATTCACCAACATAAGAAACATGGTGATTTTTCATGGTGTATCATATACTAACACATAAGCATAATCCCCAATAAACCAATTAGTGCGTTCTGATCACAGTTGACACCACACCCCAGGTGTGACTGACCAAGGTGCGCTCTTCAGCCGTACCAGTATAGTGTCCCCTTTACTACTATCGTTTCCCCTTTACGTTTTTTTTTTTTTTTCTGGTTTATTGGGGTGGTATACAGTATCATATCATATGTCTTCATATTATTGGTTTATGATATGATAATATGTTTATCATAAACCATTAATATAACATATGTATAATGACATATATATAATAATAATAATATGATATTTACTGGTTATCATATGTTTATTGGGTTTACAAAGAGCCGCTGAGGTAATATCTTGCTTGATATGTATCCCATATGTTGATGGTCTTTTTTCTAGCCACGGATAGCCACGGTTTTCCATTTGGGATGGTGGATCCGATTTTGCTTTACTAACATTAAACCAGCAAGTATAATACCCTCTGGCAGTCATCGGGGTTGGAAGATTAGTTTCCATAAAAACTAGGCTATGGATTCAGGGTCAACACGTTAATTTACCAGAGGGTAACCCATAATAGGGATAATAGGGTATTATAATAACTATAGTTACTAACATTAACCCATATTATTAACCCATAATTACACAACTATAGGGTTACTATAATAACTATTGGTTAACCCATAATAGGGATACTTATGGATACCTATCAACCAACTAAATCCAACTGTTGTATAATCAGATTAGGCTAGCCGTAGCCGGTAGCTTGGATTTTTTTAAGGGCTTCACATCCGGGATAGCTAACTCACCTTAAAATGACGATATTTTTCAAAAAAGGTCAATGGCCATGACTCAGGAACCGATTTATTGGAGGTACCTACCATATATAAGGCCTATATAAGGCCTATGTCAGGGAATATCCCCACAAAATATGGCCTTATATGGTACAGTACCTCCATTTCAGGATCCTGAGTCATTCCCATTGATATGGGATCTATAGTAAGGAACATGGTGATTTGTCATGTATGATGGGGACCCTCCAGTAATGACCAAAAGAGTGTGCGAACTGGACGTCATGTCCTATGAATGTTCGATGATTTACCTATTCAAATTGATGATTTTGCATAACTGCAACACATTTCCAAAGGGTACTAAGGGTACTTAGAATGGATAGAAACTAAAGATTGACATCCGCAAAACCCAAACAGTTTTAAGAAACGCCCAACTGATTCCGGAGCGCTCCCAGGATGGCTCTACAACGTGGATGACAAGGACTGTGCCTCCCTGACAGACGATGCAGCGACACTCGAGAGGTGCAAGTGCTGTGGTTTTTTTTTCACCAACGGGGGTTGACCATGACTTTAGCATCGATAATATCCACAGATGTCACTATGAAATCACTCCAAAATCACCATAAAGAAAATTAATCGCCAGAAATCGCTATAAAATCACTTGTATAAAATCACTATACTTGATGGCTCATCTCACGAATCGTAAGTGGGTTATAACCCCAATTATAAGTGGATTAACCCTACTTATCCCATTTATAGTATCATCATTATAGATGATTTTTTTTTGTCCAGTCGTCGAATCCGGGAGACGATTCAATTCTGCAGGTGCTACTTGCAAGGTCTCCGGGCTTCCAAATACGCTGTGCCTTGGAGAGAAATGCTCCATGCGGATGCTGGATACTATGATTAATTTTGGGATACCCTCTGGTAAACTAACATAACTATGGAAAATAACAATTTTTAATGGAAAAACTCACTATAAATGGCCATTTTCAATAGCTATGTTAGTTTACCAGAGGGTAACCATATTCTGGGTTTGTTTGGTCGGTGATTTTTGTTATTTTCCCAATGGACCATCCACCAACTGGGGAATCGATTAAGTGAATATTGTTTATTTTTTGGGGATCCCTTAAGCAAATCCAAGATATGATTTCTATGGATTAATGATTGATTAGTGTTTATAATTGATTTTCGTCCATGATTAATAGTCATAAATCATCAAACACATGAATTTTTATGAATCTCTTTGAATTGCCAAGTAACTCCCCGAAGAATGTGGCAAAGCCAATGCACTAGCAGCTAATGGTATCCATCCAACCCATAATTTTGGGGAGGGTGAATTTTCCATTGGGAAATCCCCAATTTTTAATGGGGGAGTTCATGGGGACGTGGGGTCGCCACGCCGGAAAATCTGGATCCATCCGATTCGGAAAAAGCAGCTTAGGACTGGGGGGAACTGTCCCACAAAGGCTGATTTGGCAGGAAATTACTACTATGTATCCACCATCATGCGCCGTAGTTGCCCATATGAATTGGGGTAGTTGCCAGTATCTAGTTCAGACCAGCTTAGAATTCGCTCACAGAGTCTTCGTTCGAAGCGGTTCTTCAGAAATTTGCGATGGAACCTGTGACAGGTATCACCTCAACACCGCCAAGAGAACATGAACTGACCTGCAGAATAGCAGGGTTTGTTATGAAGGGTCATAGGATCACCTTCATCACACATCTTGTGCGCCCCTAGTTAAAGGCGAGGACAATGACGTCACTGGAATGATGATGAATGTGAGGGGAATCATCCCCATAGCTGAACTTGAAACTCAGCCGGATCATATGAGGCTTGATGATCAAACATCGGAATATGATTCAAAGCAGTTTGGTTTGTGTCAACATTAGTTGTGTATCTATTTGGTGCCGATCTATCCCACATTTTTCGTTGAATATCCAGTCATATTCCCTCAATATTCTATGATACCATGAAACATCCATTGAAAATTCCACTAAATCTCAATAGAACCCATAAATTTCCATAGTTTCCTTCTAAATCCCAGCATTTTCACATATTTTCACATATGTTCAGCCGATTTTTCTTTAACGTTTAAACAACAACACACCAAAAAACCCAGGCCGGGTACGGCGTCTTGGTGGGAACTCCCAACAATCGCGCCCTAACGCTGCGCTATGCCACGAAGGCGCGGCAAGAAAAACGCGGGGGACTGGGGACATCTGGGGACTGGGGGTGACCCATAGGAAAAAAGCCCGAGTTTCACCATTTTTTTTGAGTTACCCTCTGGTTATGACTAACATAGCCATGGAAAATCCCTTATAAATGGAGGTTTATAGATGAGAATGGGAATATATATACCCTCTGGTTATGACTAACATAGCCATGGTATAGATGGCCCATAGAAATAGATGATTTTCCCAGCGAACGAAAGCTCCATTTATTTACGGGATTTTCCATGGCTATGTTAAATAACCAGATGGTATAACCAGTGTATGTAATACATTCCAGGTATGGAAAGTGTTAACAATTATTTTTAATGAGTTATAAGCACTTTATATGCCCATTTATGGAAAATTATGTACAAATTGTAAATTATATAAGTACTTAGAAGCCCATTTATGGAATGTAGAATCCCATAGAACTAACCAGCACCATTTAGAATTGGTATTTCCGGCCATAACTGCATGGGGAAAGCTTCAAGAGAGGGCTGTCTTCACCCAACGAGTACATGAGATGGGAAAACGGGTGGTATTTTGAATGGCTCAATTGATAGATGATAGGGGATTATAAAACATAAATATGGATTGAATATGGAATGAATGGTGGTTTTGTACAGACTATAATGGGATTTTACTAAAGTCACCATGGGTTTTTAGTAGTTACCATCCAAATTTATGGTATCTAATTTTGATCCATACCCATATGAATCCACATGTTTGCTATGGATTCGCATATGAAAATTATAGGATTTCTGTGGGATAATCATATGGGTTACTGGGGATATGATGGTGTATAAAGAGATTTTTCAATACATCTACGGATCGGATTTTCTATGGCTTTACCCATGGAGATGAAAGGATGATATTGAACTATGGATTTACTATGGATTTTATCGGTTTCAAATATGTTTTGACTATCCAATCTGAGGGCTAGTGGCGTCAGATTCATTTCACACATTTTCTCAGAAATTTATGGATCCATTGTCGTATGATGTGGTGCTCCTCAGCTGTAAGTTGCTTGCTTGTACCCACCTTTGTCATCCCATGTCTAGATATCACCCATTTGAGATTTTCCATGAAATAAGTAGCACCATCCGGCGAGCTTGGGGGTATCCGCATTTTCAGGAAATCCACATGTTTGTTACCCTCTGGTAAACTTTCACATAACTGTGGAAATTCACCATGCTATTAATGGGTAAATCCACTATATATATATCTCTATGGCCATGTTCAATAGCAAACTGTTAAATTACCAGAGGGTAAAACCAACTGAGCAAAGCGTCAGACCACCAGTTGTCCCAGATGTTCGCCGTTCGTGGCAGGATGCCGATTCACCTTCGCCCAACTATGGTTCCCGTGTCTACCTCACAGATGGTGCCCTGGTTGGGTCGGGCATGGGAATTCTTGGAAACTGAAGGCCAGGGGCAGGAATGGTAAAATCGGTATAAGATATATTGATTTTAATAGGTATACGTTGGTACCTAGTTATACTATGATTTACTGTAGATTACGTAGATCATATTGTAAATGATCGATAGCTATGATTGTAAAACAATTTAGCTATCGATGGGGGGCCAGGTGCAGTGAAGGGCCTGATTTTTTTTTTCAGTGATGGGACCGACCAAATGGTCGCCGAGATGACGAGAATTCGCATAAAACCGATTGGAGATTTGGGATTTTTTTAAGCATCAAATCCAATGAAGAAACAGGTGTTTTTACTGAAGTTCAATAGGAATATGAAGTGGTAGATCGGGAAAAAACAGACCTCTATCCGATGGTGAACGGAGCGGTGAAACGAGCTATGGTTGTATCATGTTGTATCCATATTCGCATTTTGAGGGTGCCAGTTGGAGCTACGAATCAAACCTGATAGTAATGTAAGTTGGATTAGATACAATGCATACCCTTACTTTCCCACAATATCCTCATAATATCCCCACTATATGATAGTCATTGCTATGAAGGACACGTAATTCCCCAAGGCATGAGACCAAGTTGGGGCCCCCTAATGTGTGTTGGTTAACCTATCTATCTATCTATCTAATCCAATCTTATCTTATCTTATCTTATTCTATTCTATTCTAATTCTATTCTATTTTATCTATTTATCTATCTATCCGCCATTAAAACCGCTGTTTTTACCTATTTATACTATGAACGGTAGATTTGCCATGCTGGATATATCGATACTCAAACCCCACCTTCCGAATTGCGGAAATGTTGCTCATCCCTACAAGGTGGTGTGATGCTGCCGCCGACGTTTAATGTACGTTGCTTTAGAACCGCAAACGTTTACCATCTGGTTGTGACTAACAGTTTGCCATGGAAAGGTCCACCATTTTTAAGAACGGTAAACCATCTATAAACGGGCCATCTATACCATGGCCCCATGGCTATGTTAAATAACCAGAGGGTAACTAGTTTATAGTCACTAATATAGTCACCAAAAATTCCAACTCACCCTTAAAACTCAACAGTGAAGATCAGTGAAGTGTTTTCATCAGCTTAGCTTTTGCTTCAGGGACTCCACCCATATTCCAAGATATTATTGATACGATGGGATGATGGGTGGAAAATTCAGTCGTCACCATGGGATTCACGAACTGGGGGTACCCCCATGTTAGGAAAGCTCATATGGTTCCTAAGTCATAGGGCTAGCCCCTGTTCATCATCCATTTATAGATAGGATTTTTGATGAAAAAGTCACCATCCAGCGAGCTTGGGATAGCGGGATAGCCCCATGACTATGGAACCATCCCACAGATGGATCTCCGGTGTTGGTCCCACATTGGATGTGGGTTTTTATCCGGGTTTATCATCTATTTCTATGTGCCATGCTTCATAGCTATGTTAAATTAAAGAGGGTATACGGAAAGTATATGACAAATAAATCTCACCAACTTCTGAGTATGGGCTAGCAGCATTTTTTTCAACCTACCAGCCGACATCAGCCGACCAGGTGAGGGTTATTCCCTCTTTTCGCCCATGGCGGGGGAGATCTCTTTCGACATCGACATCTCACAGGTTCCTGCCGGAATGTGCCGACCTTAGAGAAGAGAAAGAGGGGATTTCAGGGTAAAACATGTTAAAACCCTACAATGTGAGGAATGTGAGGCCCCCCAGTGATGTTGGTTGGTTTAGATTCGCTCCAGTAACTAGTTCGTTATAAGTACCATAAACCATAGTGAAATTGGAGTTATGTGAACCCCAACTTAGCTATCGAACGGGGGCCTCACATTGTAGGGATTCATTGGGATTTTAAAAACATCAAATCCGTCGTCAAGAAAAAGGTGTTTGATCTTAATGAGCCTCTGGGAATGTGTTACAGTTTACTACTGAAGCCATGGCCCAGAGTTAAATAGTTGATTCAGTTGATTTACCAAACTTAAAGATGGTGATTTTCCAGTTCGCTTTTTGTATGTTTACCAGAGGTTAATGACATTCAATAGGAATATGAAGTGGTAGATCGGGAAAAAACCGACCTCTATCCGATGGTGAATGGATTGGTGAACTGAGCTATGGACATGGAATTTCCCATAGCCATTTCAGCTCATTCTTAGCCGACCATCAGACCATCATCCCATGTTTTCCATAGCTTTTCAGTGTTTTTGGGTAAATTCAGGGACAAAAACAACATTTTGGAGAGGTTCACAGTTGTGAATATGTGGGAAAACATCCAAAGATGTGGGATTTCGGACAAGTAAAACGAATTTTCGTGGTCCCACGGATCTTCACAATTTTAATCATCCCAGCACCCTTCGGCCCTTCAGCTTGGTCGCCCAGGAACGCTGCCGTGTACCTGGTGTCGATGAACAGATATGGGACCCGACTGCTGGGAAGGTTCTACTTGAGCCATTAAAAATACCCTGGTTAATTGATTGCTATAGGGGATTATACTACCTGGTTTACTGGGGATTATGATAACCCATAGTAGGGGTATTTTTAATGGCTCACTTGAGGGTTTACGCCATGGAGTGAGTTTTCCTCTGGTAATTTGTCACATAGCTATGGAAAATCACCACTTTTAATAGGTAAAAATTAACTATTTCTATGGTCCATTTTCAATAGCTTTTTGTATGTTTACCAGAGGGTAGTTTTCCTCTGGTAATCAAACATGGCAATAGAAATCCCGCTGAGGTATTGTAAAAACTCATGATAAATTCATGGGATATAATGGCAAAATAAGATTTGTGGAGATATCGTGGATTTTCGACAACACTATATATACAGCACTATGATAGCTGGGGATATGATACTAGGTCAATCGACTGGATGGGTCGAATCAATTAGTCTTTTTTGGTATCAATGGGATTATCTACGTTCACCAGCTAAGAACTTACTTTTTTGCAGGGTATCTAAGATTGGCCATGATTTATTGAGTTGCTTTTCCCATTGAAAACGATTTGTGGTGGATTTCCCATTGCCACGTTTGATTACCAGAGGGTAACTTGTCAATAAAGGGATTACCCTCCAATAAATTAACATAGACCCTGGCAGTCATCGGGGTTGGAAGTCTAGTTTCCACTAGAAATTGATTACAGTTTCAGGGTCGAACTGTCAATTTACCAGAGGGTATCATGGAGATATAGTGCTTTATAACCAAGTTATAACTTGATGGCTCATCTCACTTAGTAAGTGGGTTATAACCCCAATTATAAGTGGATTAACCCTACTTATCCCATTTATAACTGGGGTTATATCCCACTTTCTAAGTGGGATGAGCCACCAAGTAACCAAGTTACCAGGAATCGGAAATCTCAAGGCCAATCGAAAAAAAGATGAGACCCGCTACAGGTGCGGTTGAAATCTGAACACCAATCCTGCGGCAGAGAGAAGAAATATCAGCACTCCAATTACCCGGCCTGGTAAACGTTTACATAGCTATTGAAAATCATCATTTTTAACGGGTAAATCAAGTATTTCTATGGCCATTTTCAATAGCTATGTTAAATTACCAGAGGGTACTGTAAAAGGATTGATTCGGATGGTTTTTTGACTACAAGGTGAGGCCCAATATTTTTCCCGCGACGTGGACTTATAACATGGTTAACTATGGAGGATAATTAACTCTATGACTATTATATATATATGTGATATATGATGAGTCATCTGATGATATTATATACTGTAACTATAATCATGGTTAAGGAGAGGAATCATCTCAAAATGGCCTAACATTTCAGGCTAGTGAATTAACCCAGAATCATTCATTTTTGTTTCTTCTTAACTGACAATACTTATAATAATTAGAATAACGGGTATCATAACTGTAGTTATAATACCCATTCTTTGTCAGTTTACCCAGATATTAATATGGATTATACATGATTCTCACTAAATATGGATAAGTTATAGTAGCCATAGTAAGATATGAAGATACATTGACCAAAAGGAATACAGCTTGGTGGTGCCTAAAACTATAATTATTGGGTTTATAAACCGACAAACATCACTAGGGCCTTACTTTGTATGGTTTCTAAGAAATGTACACGGCGTATTAAAACTGCACATTCTCCCTCCATTGTTACACCAGGAATATCGCCATTCATTGATTCTCCCACTATATTCCCATGAACATATCCATTAAATGCCATTATCATACCATGAAAATGTCCCAAAACCCTATCAAATCCCATTGAAATATTCAATTTCCCAAGTAATTGTCCCCTTGAAATCCAAAAAATCCACCAAAAATCCCTGCTGATGGTACCATGTTCAACCTCCATTTCCAGACCTTCGCATCCCATGGGAAAATCCAAGTCACAACAAATCCCTATTTGCTGATGGTTTCAACATCTCCATTTCGGGCTTATCATCTTACTGGTGCTAAACGTAGGGAATGGATGGGTTGCTGGGGGTTGCTGGGATGATTATTGATAGTTATTGTGGATCATTCCCTCATTCCCTTCTAAGCACAAGTAAGTCATCAATGGGAATTCCAGGATCCAATACATGGAGCTAACGTTAGTACCATATTTTGGGCCATATTTTGGAGTTATATCCCCTGAAATTTAGCCATTACATAGGCCTTACAAAATGGTAGGTACCTCCAATAAATCGATTCCTGAGTCATGGCCATTATCATCTCTTCATCCATTTTTCATGGTTAAATCATGTTAAATCTCCATTTTTCATGGTTAAACCTCCATTTTTCATAGGTTAAACCTCAATTTTTCATGGTTAAATTGGTTAAATCTCCATTTTTCATAGGAAAACCTCCATTTTTCATAGGAAAACCTCCATTTTTCATGGTTTCAACGAATCTCCTTATTTCGGGCTCCAGGAACATCGCTAGTATCAGCAACAGCGGCGTGATGAATGTGGCGGGCTGGCGACGGGGCTTGGGCTATTGCGATGCGCAGTGTCCCAAGGATTTGCGCTTCGTCCAGGGCACAGGTCTGCAACCAGCGGAGGGTGGACGTGCTAAATTCACACGTTAACAATAGTGGGAGAATGTGGGTGTCCCAATATATTCCACTATATTCATTGATTCTCCCACTATATTCCCAATATTGGTGACCAAAAGATGACCTGGGGGGTTTGGGTGTCCCCATTTTGTAGAGCCAAATCTGGCTTTTGGGGCTTAACATGGCCTCTACAGAATGAGGAACCTGCCACGAATCTAGCAAGGGGTTTAACATATGAAAATATGAAACCCTCTGGTTATTTAACATAGCTATGGAAAATCCATTATAAATGGAGGTTTTATACTGTAGTAACATATGAAAATTAATAGTTATAGTGATCATAGTCCATAGTGTTAATTTACGATATATATATATATATAGATAAACCTTATAGATAAACATATTACCCTCTGGTAAACATACAAAAAACGATGGAACATCACCATGCTATTAGTGGGTACTGTAAATTAACTATTTCTATGGCCATTTTCAATAGCTATGTTTGTTTACCAGAGGGTAATTAATGTCTACGGATATAACATATTAATAAATAATATTATAATACTATACAGTAGATATTATGATACATGATAGGTACATAAAAATAGATAACATCCTGAGATTTTGATAGTTAATGTCAACCCCGGATGAATAAACCATGGTTTCTGAAAATTAGGGGGGGTATTCCCCTGGTATGATTTGATACTTGAATGGTACTTTCCCAATGGAGCCAGATACCCATAGACCTGGGCTTGTTTGGTCGGTGATTTGTTATTTTCCCAATGGAAAATCCACCATGACTGGGGAATCGATTAAGTGAATATGTTTTATTTTTTGGGGGACCCCTTAAGCAAATCCAAGTAGATACCCTGCAAACAATGAACAATTCTGAGCTGGTGAACGTAGATAATCCCATACCATCCAGTTGACTATCTGGATGAGTTTCTAGCCATCCAAGGATTGACTTAGCTATATCCAAATGAACCATTCCTTCCCCTCCCAATGTTTTTTCCCCAATAGGTTGATATCAATATCCCAATACAGGATGGTGCCCCCCAGTGATGTGTGTTGCTTTATAAACCATTATAAACCCCCATTAACTAGTTCGTTATATCTACCATAAACCATAGTTTTTCCGCCACTTATCAGGCAACTGAACGCTATCCAACGGGGGCCCCCATCCTGTATCTGTATCTAGTAATTAATCTAATTATAGTTAATAGTCAAATTATAACTATAGTTAATCTATAGTTGATCTATAGTTAAAGTTCATTATAACTATAGTTAATCTATAGTTAATGGATGTTAATGGTCAATAACTATAGGTACACTCCGGTAAACTAACTAACATAGCTATTGAACATACCACATTTATACTTTATTTACCTATTCAAAACGGAGATTTTCTATAGCTATGTTAGTTTACCAGAGGGCAATATGTTTTAACTAAGGAGTTAAGATTGAACATGAGGATACAATGGGATTTTTTCATGCAGATCGAACATGGGGATTCTATATGATTCTTTTGGGATATTTTTTGGGCAATATTTTGGACATTTTATGGGATTGTTCACAGTGATTTACAGTAGATATGGGTGTGGTTGAAAACAGAGTATGCCCACCCAAGTGACTAAACGAGAGAGAAATTGATGATAATTCATCTTTTTTTTTGTTGGGTACCATTCTTGGAGTGGATCGTAGAATGAACTTATAGCTGTGGTTTTTCAGTGAAATTGTAAAGTACTCAATGTAGTCAGGTTGTACTAATATATGATGTATTGGTTCTTTTGTACTTTTAGATGAGACTTTTAGTAGATAAGTTGGAGTTATATAATGAGTTGAAGTACTTGCAATATTTGGAGATGCCTGGAGATACACCAGGGATATGATGATTATATGGGGTGTGTTGCTGTCGGAGAATGGTATTTACCAATTTTCATGGGAAAACTGGGAAAACTATGATGAGAGAACATCGATGAACCATGCAATTTTAGGTGTGTCCTAAACATGTTCCTTCAAAACCATGAACGATGATGAGCAAACCACTGACTACAGGATGCAAGTACCCTCTGGTAATTTAACATAGCTATGGAAAATGGACCATTTGCAGATGATGATTTTAACGATGTTTCAAGTCATGGGCGGCTCCACTGTGTGGCCCTTGGATCCCTTGGAACCAGCAGTACGTGGTTCATTGATCCAGTCATCATTTCATCAATGGGTTTTCCAATAAAAAATGGAGGTTTCACCTATGAAAAATGGAGGTTTAACCTATGAAAAATGGAGGTTTAACCAATTTAAGCATGAGAATGGATGAATAGATGATAATGGCCATGACGAAAAGGAACCGATTGATTGGAGGTACCGATTCCATATATTTTTGGCCTATTTTTTGGGCCTAAATTTCAGGGAATAGGATCCTGAAATCCCCATTCATCATTAAAACAGGCATTTGGATGGATGCGTCTTTTCTTGTCAATGCTTTTTCACTTTGCTACTGATTTTTTCTGGGTAAACCCTGACTGGATGGCTAGTTTAGTACAGCTTCATCTTTGGCTGAACATTAAAAAAACACATGCTTTACCTAACCAGCAAAACACACAATCTGCTGTGGTTTCCCCTGTCTTTTTAGACCAGGGTAGTTAGCTAACATGGCCAAGTTTCCGCACGAAATCTCATGGAACATCCCATCAAATCCTAGTCATCATGGTTTAGATATAGGGAAATCATCCCCTTTTATGGCCGAACTATTCAGGTTAGTGAATTGTTATAATTTACCCAGCCCAATATAGTAATTTCCATGTATAATCATCCATTTTAATAGGATTTTCCATTATATACCCAGATAAATGGATTGTCATGTTTAGTGAATTGTTATAATTTACCCAGATTGTTTCTTGGGTTTAGCAGCTCCCTGGAATCCTGTAGATTAGCTAAACATCATCCATATCATCCACATGTTCCCGTTAACATCCACGTATTTTTCCATTAAAATCATGAATGACATCCATATCAATGTTCCCATATTTGATGGCCATTAATATCATCCCATTAACATTTATCATTTTTTTTCATCCCATATTATTGTTGTCCCATGGAAATATCCCTAAGCATATCCCAATATCCAGTGCTACCCTTTGGTAATTGTTCACACTTTGCGAACTTGAAATTAGCCCATAGAAATAGTTGATGTATCAATAGCATGGTGATTTTCCATGATTGTCCCATCCGTTTTTTCTATGTTTAGAGGCTACCAACAGCGCCGTCGTCAGGCTACAACAGCGACAATCGCTATGCCTCCTGCTGTCCCGAGATGGCTGCTCGACGGCCGATCCGGAGACGATGGACGGGGGGATTTTTCTCAAGTCATGGGACGAAAATCGCTGAAATCCATAGAATTCTGCTTGGTGGCGAACTACCCACGGCTCGTAAGTGGGATATAATCCCAGTGATTTACATGGGATTTTTGTAGGGTTAATCCACTTATAATTGGGGTGAACTAACCAACTTACTAAGTGAGATGAGCCACCAAGTGGATGGATTTGCAAGTGAAAATTCGAGGACACCTCCTAACATGGGTTGGATTGAACTCCCCCAAAATCCACTGGTTAACATCATCAGTTTCCCCATGAAAAAAAGGCGTCGCCCTTCGCATCCGGCCGTGAAGTGGCAGGGCCGGGGCGGCAGGGCAGCTTTCCTAGGTCAATCCTGGGAACTTATCAATGGGATATTCACCTATTGGGGTATTAACCTATTGGGATATTGATAATCCATGATAATCCCTTCCTCCTAATATTAAACACCCCTAAACGAAACCATGGTTTAGATGGTTTTTTGGGAAGGGAATTTCCACATTTTTTTGGGACCATGTATGGGGTGTTTCATATTAGGATGATGAGATCATTATGACAAAAAAACACTGGGAGAGGAAGGAATGGTTCATTTGGAACTAGGTCAATCCTTGGATGGCTAGAAACTCATCCAAAATAGTCAACTGGATGGTATGGGGGTATGGGATTATCATGGATTATCTACGTTCACCAGCTCAGAATTGTTCATTGTTTGCAGGGTATCTACTTGGATTTGCTTAAGGGGTCCCCCAAAAAATAAAACATATTCACTTAATCGATTCCCCAGTCATGGTGGATTTTCCATTGGGAAAATAACAAATCACCGACCAAACAAGCCCAGGTCTATGGGTATCTGGCTCCATTGGGAAAGTACCATTCAAGGTGTTTTTTGCAGCGCAGGAGGTTTCAAATCAGCAGGCTGATTCCCCAATGAACCATCCATCTGAGCTACGCCGTTTTTCATCCTTTTTCTGGAAATCCTAGCATAATTGGTATGTAAAGCCCTATGAAAGGATAGATGACCATCCCCCCAATATGCCCATATGCTCCATGCTGCTGGAAAGTTCACCAACATTTACACCATTTTTATGAGCCAGTTTTGTAGGTAAATATACTATACATGGAGCATCTGGTATGTATATATACCCTCTGGTAATTTAACATAGCTATGGAAAATCACCATTTTTAGTGGGAAAACTCACTATAAATGGCCATTTTCAATAGCTATGTTAAATTACCAGAGGGTATATATATATACATCATTATACATCATTGTTTGCCGCCTCGAATTTCTTCGTAAGGACCTCTTTGAGGCAAATCGTTTCGTGTCGGCCCTCACGGCGCATCCGTGCAAATCCGACCAGGAGGGCGGGTCGGCGGGTGTTTCGTGGGATTTCTCAATGGAAAAAATCGATGTATCGCGAGGATATAGATATTGAATGATAGTAGTACTATAGATCTGGTTGGTGGTTTGGAACATGACTTTTATGACTTTCCATATATTGGGAATGTCATCATCCCAACTGACGAACTCATATTTTTCAGAGGGGTTCAAACCACCAACCAGAGATAGTATAGGATATAATTCTATATCTATTATTGGACTATAGTAATATATAGATATAGAATGGACTATTGAATGATGACTTGATCATGGGATATTACTGGGAGATTACTGGGATCATGGGATATGGGATATCTGTAATGGAGAATATATCATGGGATGGAGGATATGAATGAGATTTAGAGCCATTATACTGACATTCGGGCCCTGGGATTAGTGGCAAATGGTTTTTTTTTAACTGGCGAAAACAACTGACACTCGGTACCGTTTTGTTTTTTTATCCGCCAGTGACAAGTACTAACGACTTGTCACTAATCATACTACGCCCATCTAAGTAGCCCAATAGCAGGACGATGGCCGGCTAGCCATGCTACCTGGTTTTTTTGGGAAAAAAACGTAACCCAAAAATTGGGGAACCGATCAACCAGCTAGGTATAAATGACCTGGTTTTTGGGGGATCAAAAACTACAGTACCCAATCTGTTTGGTGGTTTGGAACATGACTTTTATTTTTCCATATATTGGGAATTTCATCATCCCAACTGACTTTCATATTTTTTTAGAGGGGTAGGTATACCACCAACCAGTATATATATATATATATCTATATATATATATATCGTATAGCCTTGATTTTCGCAGCTTTCATGGAGGAAATGAACGGACATGATGATTAACCAGTGGAGTGCATGGTGAAAGCATCGATGGTTTGACAGGTGAAAACAGATTCAATTGCAGCCTCTAGTAAACATACAAAAAGCTATTGAAAATAGCCCATTTATAGTGGATTTTCCCATTAAAAATAGAGATGTTCCATAAAGTTCCATAGTTGTTTGTATGTTTACCAGAGGGTAGCCGGAGGGTAAGCCCAAGCGGAGCTTCCCACATCTCCGACGCAATCTGGCCTCAGGCGTCGGTCTGCGACAGCAGCACAAATCCCGACTGCGGGGCCGAGTGCGACAGCAATGGCGGGGATATCAACACCTTCCGCGACGAAGGCGCGGTCGTGTTCAGCGGTCCGGATGTGGGGTTGCACGACAATTTTGTTGGGGATATCCTAAGAGGAGTCAACTATAGGAATTATGGGACATTGGGATATCTTTCAAAATGGCGGGTTTATCCTTATAGATGTCATTGAGATATAGTGGGATATCAGTGGATATCAGTGAGCAACGCAATATGTGACAATTAAGATCCATTAAGCATCAAACATAAGGATTTCACCATCAAACGTAGGGATTTAGCCATAAACAATTTGGATGGGTGCAGATTGTGGGCCAGATCTGGGTCATAGGTCATAAGTTGGTTCATGAAACAATCTCAATCTCTTGAAACCTAGCGATATGTATACATACACCTTAAATCTGTTTTATATCAGTCATCAATAAGAAACCAACTTACCTATCTCAGGGGCCCCTTCCTGTAGAGACTCAACACCCAGACATGGTGGTTTTACGATGTTTTACGCGCAAAAGATGGGGAAACAAGTTCAACCTCAGGAGTTTCTGGAAACTTCTGTAAAAAATCGCTAGTGTTTGACTTGAAGAGGCAAGAAGTCAGGAAGCAGTTGGCCCAATGAACGAATCCGTCGCCGGTCCCTACTGGTCCTACAGAGCGATGAACTGCCTTGTTTCGCTTCTGGCAAACATATGAGAAAACAGCACTGGATAGTCCTAGATACAATGTAATCCCCCCACAGTTATAAATTGTAAGTTACATCGATTTGACAACCCCTGGCCTGCTGTAATAAATGTATGGCCACCACAATTCCAGTTGGATTTTCGTTTCAGCCATTCTGGTCGAACTGGGGGGACTTGTAGAGTATTGGATTCACGAAATGGGGATTTCGCGCATCTTACGAGGCGGCCCCGGCCAGTAAAATGTTGGTTTAGTTCAAACAATATCTACCATAAACCATAGTTAACTAACCTTGTTATTTGCACCAACTTAGCTATCTATCATAAATCAATTCTATCAATCTCCAGAATCCCTATTCATTGCTGTGCTATTTTCGTTTTTCTCTTAGTTTAGTTTCACCCCATGATCTAGTTCGAAAAATACCTACCATAAACATCCATAAACCATAGTTAAATATAGTTTACGAACTTTTCACCTATAGTAACTCTGGTTGGTGGTTTGGAACATTTTTGTTTTTTCCATATATTGGGAATAATAACCCCAGCTGACTTTCATATTTTTCAGAGGGGTAGGTATACCACCAACCAGTAATGTTGAATGGAATAGTCGAATCCTACTAAAACAATGAGTCGGACTCTATGATTCCATCAAAACTGGTGCCATATATTACTGTGGATGGTTGCGAAATCCTGACCAAAAGGATGGAGTTGAAACCCCCAAAAAATATTTGGTGCCTACCAATCAATGCCACTCGCGACACGACAGGCCCGGGGCATGCGCTCTTCAATAACGTGGACCCGATGCTACCTTTTAGCGTGCCTTGGAAGCCTGGAAAATGAGGGGAATATGATGGGATCATGGGATTGATGAGATGTATTGAGATGTATTGAGATGTAGAAATACTAAGCCTACTAAACCTATAGAAAACTGGTATTAGAAAAAAGGGATGTTAATATAATTAATGGGGAAGTGGAAATCATTGTTTTTTTTGGATGGGAAATGACCTGGGTAAATGGAATGAGGACCGAAGCCTGCGACGTCGAATGGCCGATTTTTCCGGTGAACCAGATCCTATGAATCTTGGGGAAACAAAACCAACCAATCTAACTGAGGTATAACATCTGGGTAAATTTCATCACGACCTCACTGTTCTCCCTCACTGGAATCATGGTTAGCAAGGGAAAGCATCCCCAAATGGCCTTAATTCAGGTTTTGCGGGGAGGGGGCCGGCCAAAGGGAAGATCGGTGGCCTTAATTCAGGTTAGTGAAATATTATAATTTGCCCAGATGGTATAACTAAGATTAGTAGGTATGCATATTTTTTCACCATGTATAACCAGTATACCAAGCCAGAAAAAAGATGAATAGCAGGGTATATCCAACCAATCATCTAAGTGGGTATACCATGGTAGCCTATATTTACATACCCTCTGGTGAACTAACATTTTGCCATGGAACATCACCATGCTATTCATGGGAAAACTCACTATTTCAATGGCCATTTTCAATAGCTATTTTGACATAACCAGAGAGTAAATTTCCATTTTCTGATGGTTTTCCCATGGTTTTCCTATGATTTTCCAAGCCCAACTTCCCCTAACCTGAGGGTAACTGTCGTAGATCCAATACCTGAGCAAGCCATGATCGAAGCGATCTGTCCCAAACATCGGGGATTCTTCAAAAAACGCTACAAATCCCACCACAGTGGAGATATTATGGATTTTAAACAACACTATAAACAAATAAATAGATACATGATACATATACTGTATATATATAATATATTATATACTGTATATATATACTGTATATATATATACATGTTTATAGCACTATGATAGCTGGGGATATGATATCTGCAACTTATGATCATTTTAGGAAGGAGCATCGTGATTAATCATCGAATTGGGGGGTGCGATCAGCTGAAAAAGTGTGTGTTCGATGGAAATGGCTACAGGAAACCAGGACTTTAACATCTACATAGCTTCCATATATAGATGGTTAGTATGGGATAATGATGGTTAATGATGGTTAATAATATCTGGTTGGTGGTTTGGAACATTTGGACGATTTTTCCATTGGGAAGTTCATAATCCTAACTGACGAACTCCATCATTTCTCAGAGGGGTTGGTTGAAACCACCAACCAGATTATTATTAACAATCATTAACCATATAATAACCATAGATTAACGATATATTAACCACATATCATAATTTATATATGTTCATGTATTTTCCCATACAAATCCCCTTGAAGCAAGTGGTTGAGATGGGGATGGGGCAACAAAACGGATGTCAGTTCCTTGGTACCCGCCAAAAAACACAATTGCGGGCTGAAGCGGGCTGGGTTTGTCAGGCTGAACTGGGTCCCCAAGAATTGCTGCCCGAACGGTTGGCTCACTGGATTGGTTTAAGGGAAAATTTTCAGGAAACCATGGTTTTTACTATCAAATATAGGGCTTTCCTGTAATTTTTCCCATCATTCAATTCTTTCCCAACCAACCCAATCTTTTCTGGTTGGTGGTTTCAAACATGGCTTTTATTTTCCATTTCATGTATGGGATGTCATCCGAAACCCATTGACTATATAATATTTTTCAAGATGGGCACATTGCACCAGCAAGCAGAATGATCATATATCCCATCATTAATCACCATATATAACCACTATTATTGGTATTATAACCACTATTATAATATAATCCCAACCAGTTGATCATTAGATTTGTTTGTTCAACATCCAGATTTGATTTGTTCATACTGTCACGTTCGCCCCTCAGGGTCTCAGGTTCCTTCACGACCTTAGAGACTGCCATGGACCAGGGTGGACCCTCCAGGGCTCCAGGCCTCATCCAACCACCTGCAGGTCACTACACGTTTCATCACCAACAACGGATTCTCCAATGGAACTTTGATAGATGCTGGGCAAATTGTGATTTTCACACTAGAGATTCCACAGGAAAACTCTGGAGATACCATACCCGACCTGGTAAACATACGAAAAGCGAACTGGAACATGGCCATAGAAATAGTTGATTTACCCATTAAACATGGGTGATTTTCCATAGTTTTTTGGTATGTTTACCAGAGGATAACCATCCAAAGATAGAGGTCAAAAAACTGTAAATTTTCCCTTAACGGAAACCTATACGATGCTATACGCTCAATAGTAAAAAAACATGTAAGAACCTAGGGGGGTCAGCCATAATTTTATTAATTCTTCAGCCCACCCAATAAATAGGGTTGCTCCAACCGATTATAGAGAAATGATATAGCCACAATATCACTCATGTTGCTTCTATATTTACCAAACAATACCCACCCAAATCTACCTGAATCTTCCAAAAAATGCGCTCGGTAAACCCATGATCCATCACCATAAATCCATTTGAATACATAAATCCACCATAAATGATGCGATTTTGAACTCAGCTAAGGAAATCGAGCAGGAACTACTTCAGGTTCAAGGGATCTCGATGGCGGTGGTCAAAACTCAAAACCTTGAGGAATATACCTTGCACCCCCCAAATATCTGGGATGAAAAAAACATGTTGGGATTTTTCCATGGAAAATCACTTTACTACATGAATTTCTTGCCACGAAAAAACATGATTTTCATATATTTTCATCATTTTCCCCTGAAAAATTTCCGCAAGGATCTCCCGATTGGATGTGAGATCCTCCCATGTGACCCCGCGAAGGCAGGGCGCAGCTTCAAGACATCTTTGACTGACCAGAGCGTGGCGGAGTCTTCCAAGCGCTTCAGGTCAGTAGTACCATCTGGTTATGATTAACATAGCCATGGAAAATCACCATTAATAGGTAAACCATCTATAAATGGGTCATTTTCCATGGCTATGTTTATGTTAGTCATAACCAGAGGGTAACTGATGGGTAAAAACCAATCCTGAAGCGTTGATTGAAGATATTGAAGCCACGAAAAACGTGTGGATCATTAAGTTTCTTCGCCACGTTGATACCCAAGTGGTGATTTTGAATCAAGTGGTGATACTTGTCCGGGATTTTCCAGCACGCCACGTTGATGTCTGGTTAATCCCATAAAATATATCAACATATTCTCATTAATGTCCATTGAATCATATTGAATCCCCACTACTGGTGAACATCCCCAACCAATGGATGGGTAGAAACCAATCCTTTTAGTTTTTTTTTTGCTATGAAAATTCACCAGAACCAGCAAAAGATGACATGTTTTTTCTGGACAACAACAAAAATTGACCAGTACGTGAATGAATGGGATTGGACCTCGAATTATTCAATGGTTTGGTTTAAGGGAAAATCTTAACCGGAAACCATGGTTTTTACCATTAAATATGCTGTTTTCCTGTAAATTTTCCCTTATATAAACCAATCCATTGAATTATGACATTGATGCAGATTGGTTGAAAATCCCAGCATTTCTAAAGAGAACCCCCATGAAATCCTCATGAAATCCTCAAGAAATCATGGGGAAAATCCATGAAAATCCATGAAAATCCAGGATCATTCAACGAATTGTAACTGGTTAAGAACCAGCCAGTTGGGAGTCCGCAACCGATGGGAATCGAAATCACCAAACGTGGGGACTTGGTTGGTTGGTTCGCTGGTTTAGTTCATTTACATAGTTTAAAGTGTTTAAAGCAACTTGGAATTGATAGTTGATAACTATTGATAACTGATATATATATATATATCAGTTATCAATATATATATATATATGCTAGTTGATTCAAGGTAGGCAAACATCCAGTTGGCTTTATGGCGATGTTCATTAGTTGGATGGGCAAGTTGGTATCCTGCCGTCGCAGGAGCGCCAACAAATTTGGTGAAGTCTATGGTAGCTCGGATGAAATCTTTGGATACGGAAAATCATGGGAAAATCATAGCAAAACATGGGAAAATCATAGGGAAAACATGGGAACATCATAGCAAAACATGGGAAAATCATAGGGAAACATAGGGAAAATCATGGGAAGATGGAGCTTTCTGGCTAGGAAATGGCTGGGAAAATCATGGGAAAGTTGGTGGTTTGGAAGATGAATGAACAGCAAAGATAGAGATTTCATCGGAATTTCACAGGGATAATTGATGATTTTACAGGGATTGTACTACCTGATACACTGGTTGGTGGTTTGGAACATGTTTTTCCATATTAATTGGGACTGTCATCATCCCAACTGACGAACTCACTCCGTCATTTTTCAGAGGGGTTGCAACCACCAAGCAGTCATGGAAAATCATGGCTGAGATCTCAAAAGCTGGGAAACATCATCGAACTAATTACTAGGTCAATCTTACATGGATACTTTAATCCTTTAATCTTTTGGTATTAATGGGAATATCTACTAACCAGCAAAGACTTTAATTTCTTGCAGAGTATCTAAGATTGGCAAGGATTAGTTGGGCTATGTTCCAGCACGCCATGAAGCTGACACCGGAGCGTTTTTGGAGCGACTTGCCATCCTCCCAACAACTAACATCAACGCAAAAAGTTGAGCCTTGGAAGATTAGTCCTTTCCTCCAAAAATACGAGTGATTCGAAAAGGGTGAAACTGCGAACGTTGGATGGCAAGTCCCATTAATATCAATTGATATCCATTCATCTCCATGATTCTTATATGTATCATATCCCATTCACAATCCAATGATTTTTGCGGGTGGTAAATGCCAATCAGAAAACAAAATTCACCTCAAAAATCCCATTGAAAAAAAACACCTGAAGAATTAGAATCTATATTATCTATATTATCTAATTATCTATGTATCTAGAAAGCTTGCCCTCTGGTAATTTAACGTAGCTATGGAAAATCACCATGCTATTCATGGGAAAACTCACTATTTCAATGGCCATTTTCAATAGCTATTTTGACATAACCAGAGGGTAATCAAGAAAAAAACTTGGAGGATCATCCCAAGCATTGACAAAGTGTTTTTTTCCATGATTTTTGTCACGTCATTTCATTTTTGTATGTTTACCAGAGGGTAAATCCCATAATCATATTCCATAAAATTTCTATAGTTGCTACCCGAAAGTCGCTGCCTGGGCCTTGAGGAAAGTCCGCCAAAGATGTTTCCCTAAAGTGTTTTTTTCCTCCAAGAATCACAGCAATTTGGATGTATTTTCCAGCAAAAAGACTTGTACAACTTGTATATTTCTGTATTTTCCAGCAAAAAGACTTGTACAACTTGTATATTTCTGTATTTTCCAGCAAAAAGATTTGTATAACTTGTATATTTCTGTATTTTCCACCAAACAGACTTGTATATTTCATGAACATTGTGTTTGAAAAACGTGTATTTGTTGTAGCTCGGGGAATGAATCTCCCGCCCCAGCAGCATCTTCTAAGGCGGTCTAAAGCAGATGGGCAAGGTGGCAATTGAAGTCTCCGGGTTAGTTCGGGTTAGTAGTGTTCACACATCCCCAGGAGAAATGAGATTGACAACACTTCTAGCAAGCCAAAGCCGATATTGCTGGTTGGTGGTTTGGAACCATGGAATTTTATGACTTTCCATTCAGTTGGGAATATATAATCATCCCAACTGACTCATATTTTTCAGAGGGGTAGGTATACCACTAACCAGAAATTGTTGTTTATTGTTACCCTCTGGTAAACTAAGAGTTTGCGAACTGGAATATCACAATTTTTACTAGGTCAATCAACTACTTCTATGTGCCATTTTCAATAGCTATGTAACAAATTACCAGAGGGTATTGAATGGTTTTGAGTGTCAGATGTTTATTCCACGGATATTCCATCCTACCAGGGAAAAAAAACACCACGAATCATGCTTGGTACATACCCCGCTAAAAATGGCAGGGTTGGAAACTTTCAAAGAAAGAGGGTTTAGTATTGCGATGGTTACTGTTGTTATGTCATCAGTCATTGTGTTTAACAGTTTAAGAAGTGAATAGTCACTTAGTCCAAATCCGCATTGGTCTATACTTTCTGTTAAACAGTTACCTTAGTATGTTTTTACCAGTCGAAGCAAAATCCCAGTTTTACAATATAGTTTTACCAGATGAAGATCATTGAAGATCCCAAACAAATACTTGGAGGATCATTCAATGAATCGTAATTGGTGAACGTGGCACGAATCGTCAATGCTTGGGATGATCCTCCAAGTTTCTTTCTTTATTAACCTTTATTAACCAGTATTGACTAGTATTAGCCACTAGTTTTTTCAGTTATAATTTTTTACAAACAAACACTATTAGTCTAGTAGTAAGTTATATACTATTCACCACTACTGTATGAATAACTATATGAACAACTATGAATAACTATATTAATATATATTAATTATAATTATTAATAACTATATTGATAACTATTTTCATGACAATATAGATATTACATCAATGAATCGAGTCGTGCCCTCCGCGGCGCCAGTCCCTGCGCAATGGCATGGTGCTGGTGGTGGCATTGTGGTCTGATCCAGGTCCGGACGGTTTCACCATTTTTCACCGTAGAAAACCGCCACTCGTTCAACGGTGTTTTTTTTCAGAAGGTACCCTCTGGTAAACATACAAAAAACTATGGAACATCACCATTTTTGATTGGTAAATCCACTATTTCTATGGCCATTTCAATAGCTATGTTAAATTACCAGAGGGTAAACTAAGGGCTGATGATTTTTATGACTTTAAAACATTCAGTTGGGAATATATAATCATCCCAACTGACTCTAATCTTTTCAGAGGGGCTGGTTGAAACCAACTAACCAGAAATTGTTGTTTATTGTTACCCTCTGGTAAACTAAGAGTTTGCGAACTGGAACATCACTATTAAAATAATAGGTAAATCACCTATTTCTATGTGCCATTTTCAATAGCTATGTAACAAATTACCAGAGGGTATTTATTGTTATTGAAGCTATTCTTGTTATCTGGTTGAAGTGAAGGTAAAATCCGAAATGATCGAAATGGGCATTTGGAAATAACACAGGTTCTAAGAGGTTCTAAGATCTGATTGGATGGCGACAGATGGGCTGGTGAGATCTGGAGGCGGAAAACTCTGTGGTGAAAATTCAAAGCACCAGAAAAGCCTATGGATGGTACCGCAAGCTCGCTGGATGATGTATAATTCACGGTTAAATTTCGAAAATAACATGGATGATGCAATGGGGTACCCTCTGGTAAACTAACATAGCTATTGAAAATGGCCATTTATAGTGGATTTTTCCATTGAAAATGGTGATTTTCCACAGTTATGTTAGATTACCAGAGGGTACCTCTATTTTAGGACACCACCATATCTGAAGAAACAACAGACCTGAATCCACGTTTAGTTTAATATCATTGGTTATCCATTGGTTAGCTGTGGTGAACGGCGGGAGTGATAGCGATTGGGGTATCCATACCTGAAGTATTCCCTATTCAATGGGGAGCCAGGGAGCTACGAATGGAGTTTTCCAACCATATGATAGATATGATAGTTGGGCAACATGTAAAATGACTAGGAACTATCAAGTGGTTGGAAACCTGGTTTGTTGCCAACATAAGTTGGACAACTACATGATTGGAATGCCCAGGAGTTTTCCCCATCTTTAGTGAACATGTATAGGAACTGATTGGAATCCTGGATCATGGCAATTCACCAAAACTCACATCCCGGTGGTGTCTCTTTTTGGTCGTCGCCTCCGATGATTTCCGAAAATGATCACGAAACGGAACTGTCCGCATATGCTCCATGTTCCATGGATTCCATTGCTGTGGTTTTTTGGCAAAAGAGGGCACGCACAATTTTTCAATGGTGTCTGGTATGATTATGAATAGTTGTTATAGATCATTCCCCCATTCCCTACTAAGCACCAGTAAGTTGCTGTGTTTGTTTTGCAAAAGAGGGCACACCCGGATGTTCTCTCGTTCAAAAGGCCACCAGTCATGTCCATTCAAAGCTCTTCCGAAAGTGAAGGGAAATTCTGCAGTTGAAGCCCCTGACTACAGTATAACAATAATAAAGCACCCATTTAAAAGAATGTTTCATACCACCTATAAAAAATGGTGATGACTGGGGGATGGTTTATGAAATTGTTTTACTCACATTAATCTCAATGGATTGGTTTAAGTGAAAATCTACAGGAAACCATGGTTTTTACCATCAAATATAGGTCTTTCCTGTAAATTTTCCCATCATCCAATTCTATGATAATCTCCTTAGCTTTGCAATTTTGGCCCATTTTGGATCCGGCATTGCCGGTACCACCATGAGTTGTTCCGGCCAGGTGGAAACATGAACTGGCAGCTTGGCAGGAAGCTGCTGGATTTTTTCCATAGAAATGGTTGGTTTGCTCATAATACTACCATTATAATATCTCATTGTAATATACTCCCATAATTGTGTATAATATATATATATATTATTATTATATAATATACATATTACATATTATTATCATATATTATTAATATTATATATATAATATTATACATATTATATATAATATTATACATATTATATATATTACATATTATATATTTATATTTATTACATATAATATAATATATATATAATATATATAAATATATATATATATATATAATATATCCCCATGTAATCCACGTCGCAAATGGTGACTTTCCACTTCGCAAAGTTTTTTTTGTTTTCACTTCGGATGGGTAGAGAAGGCCGAATGAAAAAACAACCAAAAAACAAAGAAATTGTTGAGTGTTTCCTCATCCCCTTAAAATACTACTTGGTTATTTAACATAGCTATGGAAAAACACCTTTTTTGATGGGTGAGTCATCATAAATCCTCTATAAATGGACCTTTTCCATAGCTACCCTCTGGTAAACGAACAGTTTGCGAACTGGAAAATCACCATCTTTAATAGGTAAATCCACTACAAATGGGTCATGTTCAATAGTTATGTTAAATTACCGGAGGGTTACATGGGATTTACCCTCTGGTTATTTAACAGTTCGACACTGGCAGGGGTTGGAAGATGAGTGGTTTACCACTAAACATGTGTTATTTTCAGGGTCTATGTTAATTTACCAGAGGGTAAATAATTGATTGCTATAGGGGATTATTAGTATACCTGGTTTACTGGGGATTATGATAACCCATAGGATTGTACTACCCATAGGGGTTTTCAGGGTCTAACTCTTCATTTGGAGGCTCGGCTGTATCCCGTGTTTTGTTTTTTGTTCCATTTTCCCAAGGATTTTCTTGAAACCAAAATAGATGATATCATCAAATAACCAATCTATTGATGTTCTTAGTTTTTTTTGAAAGTGGTAAACCCAATAATAAACCTCCCATTGAGTGTACCACTGGATCATAAGTTTCCCAAAGAGAAAATGGGTGTGCCCCATTTTCAGACACACCCATATTAACTAATCCCATCACCCTAATATTAAACACCCCAATTGCATGGTCCCAAAACAATGTGGAAATTCCGTTCCCAAAAAACCATGGTTTCGTTTAGGGGGTGTTTTTCAGATATTGGGGGGGAGGGATTACTGTACAATCAATCTTGGCTGTAAATGGCTATGGATCAATACCTATACATACCATTTTTAGTGGGATGAACATCCATTTACCAGCTATTTTGGGGTTCACTAGGTACCAGGGTTTTGACCCATCCCCAAATCAAAAATCAGGATTCATCATGATCATACAATGTGAGGCCCCCCAGTGATGTGAACGTTGGTTTAGATTCGCCCCATGAATACTATAGTTATAAGTACCATAAACCATAGTGAAATTGGTAAATCATGGTTAGCTATCGAACTATAGTGAAATACTATAGTTATAAGTACCATGTGAACACCAACTTAGCTATCGACCGGGGGCATCATGATCATCGTGAAAATCCATGATGAAAATCATTGGATTCCTGGGTAAATTTCCATCACGACCGAGCCCGTCGTTCTCCCGGTTCGCCTGGGAATCATGGTGTAGATATAGGGGAATCATCCCCAATTTATGGGAAATCAAGATTCAGGTTAGTGAAATATTATTTCATTTACCCAGATACTTGATAAAACATGATAAAACAGTACTGGTTGGTGGTTTCAAACATGGCTTTTATTTTCCATTTCATATATGGGATGTCATCCTTCCCATTGACGAACTCCATCATTTTTCAGAGGGGTAGGTTGAAACCACCAACCAGTATGATCATATATCCCATCATTAATCACCATATATAACCACTATTATTGGTATCATAACCACTATTATTATATAATCCCGACCAGTTGATCATTAGATTATGAATAACCATCCTTAACCACCAACCAGAGTAGCTCTACCTTCCATTAGTTCCATCAATGTTCCAGATTAGATGGCATAAACTATCCCCAAACATAACGTGTCATCCCTACATGGGTTAGTTATACCTCATTATATCCCACACAATTCCCATTATAAATGTGGGCAAATCCAGATTTACATCCCACCTCCCCTCCAGTAAATTAACAGTTCGACCCTGGCAGTCATCGGGCTTGGAAGATTCGTTTCCACTCAAAATTGGATAGTTTCAGGGTCTATGTTAATTTACTGGAGGGTAATCTTCAAACATCAACCAGAATCATAGCTGAAATAATTGTCTGTTAATCCATAGTTGATAAACCCATAGCTTTATCTTCCATGATTAGAATTGAACATCTACGTTTCAATACATGGAACGTACTTAAGAAATCTTCCAGATTTCGAAGTTTTATCAATGGGTATTTCAGGATCCTAAATTGGAGGTACCTACCATATATATAAGGCCTATATAAGGCCTATATAAGGCCTATATAAGGGGATATCCCCCAAAATATGGCCTTATATGGTACTAACGTACCTCCATGTATTGGATCCTGGAGATCTCCCATTGATTTTAAGCCCGGATCAGGTTTTCCCAGGCTTTCTAAGTCGCCAAGAGTTTTTTTTTAGGTTGGACTCCTGCGATGCCAACAAGACCGTCTACGATTGCCCCTTGCGACCGAAAAGGGGGAGAAAATTGAACGCAAGGGTAGGGAAATACCACCAACCCGAAAAATATCAAGATTCATAGGTTTTTTTTTGATGAGATATTATGGATATTTACTAGGTCAATCTTGGATGGGTCGTTGAATTAATCCTTTAGTCTTGGATGATATCAATGGGATTATCTACTAACAACCAGCTAAGTTTTTTTCATTTTTTGGAGGGTATCCAAGATTGGCCATGTTTACCAGCTGCACCCTAAATGGGGCGATTATAGAATTCTAATTCTAATATTTCCTAAGGGGGGATTAGACATATTAGGAGGCACCTGCAAATTGATGAGGGATTAGACATATTCGAATCTCTGTAAAGCCATCATGAAATGTACTTCCAAATATAGACTCGTTGGTGGTTTGGAACATTTTTTTCATATTTTGGGAATTTCATCATCCCAACTGACTAAGATTTTTCAGAGGGGTTGGTTGAAACCACCAACCAGTAGATCCAAGTTGGGGATGACAGTTCATAGCTCAATGGCCATGACTCAGGAACCGATTGATTGGAGGTACCTACTATATATAAGGCCTATGTAAGGCCTATTTTTTAGGCCTATGTAAGGGAATATCCCCACAAAATATGGTACTAACGTACCTCCATGTATTGGATCCTGGAGATCTCCCATTGAATAGTATTTGAATGTCATGTGAGATTCACCCAATGCCATCTGCACCATCGGTTTTATTTATCGCCATGCTTATCGCTGATACCAAAGGAATGACAGCGGAACGGTTGGGGTTCACCACAAACATTCAACCAAAATCAAAGAAAACAATAGGATGGGGATAAGAATCAGAGACTAATTTCTATGATTCAATGGATTGGTTTAAGGGACCATCTTAACCGGAAACCATAGGTTTTCCCATTAAATATGGATAAATATGCGGTGTTCCTGTAAATTTTCCCGGGAAAACCAATCCATTGAATCATAGATTGCGGACATTTCGTCATATCTGTCAGTTGATCTTTTTTCGTTCGTTAGTGATCCACGGATTTCCTCGGCTTTTCAGAGTAGACGTAGTTTAGAAAATCGGAAATCCTGAGATATTTGCCTTACCAAAACCATTTCATAGATGTCCTTTTCCCATTGGTTGGTTGATGAATAGAGGGGTTTGAACGTTTACCCCTTTAACAACAGGTTTCTTTGATGATAGATGGTATACCAGCTCCCAGCCCCTCTATTTTTACCAAAGGGACACTATTGATATGAATCGGGCGTGCGAACCTAACATAGCAACCCTATACGAACCATATATACCAACCATATATTAACCATCGACTGAGGTATATCAACCATACATTAACCATATGTATATGAATACTTGATGGCTCATCTCACTTAGTAAGTGGGTTATAACCCCAATTATAAGTGGATTAACCCTACTTATCCGATTTATAACTGGGGTTATATCATATATCCCACTTACGAGCCGTGGGATGAGCCACCAAGTATGTATATGAATAGTGACCATGGTCAAATACAACATCAACAGTAGGAAATCCTTCCGGAAACATGTCTTCCAACGCCCAGATGTCTCGATTTCCCCTTCCCAGAATTTCTGAGGTCAAAAAAACTGGGAGTTTAACGATAGCGTCTGGGAGGAGGTCACCCGACGCACCCGAGCCCCGATGTAGCTTGGGATGTGGGGTTTGGAGTTGATATTATTCCCATATGCTCCATGGTGCTGGTATATTTACCTGCAGTTGGGATGATGATGAAATTCCCTATGCAAAAATAAAACATGTTCCAAACCACCAACCCTGGATTAACAAACGGCTGTTTAATTGGGAGGGGACCATTTATGTACCATATTGTGACTATTTGGAGGGTACCCCCTAATTAATAAACCATGGTGCTGGTATATTTACCTACAAAACTGGGTGATTTTGTTCGGGCAAATGTTGTTAAATATTCTATACATGGATATTATTGTAATGTCAACCCTGGATTAATAAACCCCAAACGGCTGTTTAATTGGGAGGGCACCATTTATGTACCATATTGTGACTATTTGGAGGGTACCCCCTAGTTAAAAAACCATGGTGCTGGTATATTTACCTACAAAACTGGGTGATTTTGTTCGGGCAAATGTTGTTAAATATTCTAGCACCATGGAGCATATGGGATTGTAATCTAAGATTGCAATGGAAACCCCTCATCAATATCGATTTGGCCTGAAAAGTTAGGGGAAAAAAAGCACCAAACCAGTGGTTTGTTTCTCGCGATATTCCCTTAAGATTAATGATTAGTAGAGGAATTATTCCTAGCTTAATGCCTCATTTTCGGACACACCCATATGCAGTGAGCATGTGGGAAACATAACTGGGGGGCACCATCTTTTTTCACCTTGGCATTAAAATTATCATCGAACAGCCACACCGACTTTTTGCTTGGCCTTGGTCCATCTTGGTCCCAGCAACTCAGCCCAGAACCCATGAACTGAGGCGAATGAGGTGAAGCCCGGCATTTGGAGAGGACCCGTGGATTACTACCCCGACTACGCGCCCTGGCGAACGCAGAATTTGTACGTAGATATTGGAGGTGTCGAGCTTGGGATGGTGCATTTTGATTGGAGATCCGAACATAAAACAGATGATTTGGGGCTTCTATTTCAGGAAACCTCTATATGAAGGTTTCCGAAGTCATGTTGGTACTCCAATATCATCCAAAATCATCCAAAATTGTTTATTGATCAATGGGAAAACCAATGGTTTGGGGTAGCCATATTTTAGGTCAACTCCATATTTTGATGGTTTTGACCGTCAAACATATGGAGCTATTTTACAGCGGATATAATTCAGAGATCATGGTTGATACTGATGACTCATCCGATACAGCTCCAGTGTATTTAAAACATTGAACATAATAGTTTTGGGAAAATATGCTTTCCCAAACACATTTGCATGTATTTGCTTAGATTAATCACACACCATTGTATCATATCAGTAAGATATCCAATAATATCACCATTAAATCCCATTATTTGCTCTACGGATTCTTTCTCCCATACATATTTAAATTATACCATATATATTATCTCATTACTATATTATATAATTATATACATAAGATTGTATATGTTTTATTGTATATATTTAATATTCTATCTATATATTTATGATATTATATATATATTATATTATATATACATATATATATATTATTAGCTCATATATATATATTAAATTAAATCTTTTATATATACATATATTAAATATATTATATTGTATATATATATATAGTATATTTTATATGTATTAAATTATATATATATATATTATATTTTATATGTATTATATTTTATATGTATTATTTAAATTATATTTATTATATTTACATTATTTAGATTATGTTTTTATATTATATATATATGATATTATATATATTATTTATATATATAATAATATATATATATATATTATTTATACTATATATACATTCTATTATTTATAAATTATATATATTATAGAATTTATAAATTAGATATATTCAAGATTATATATATATTATATATATATTATATATTTTTTAATATATATTAAATATATTATAAATATTATATTTTATATATTCAATGATTGATGTGTAGTAGATATAGGAGTATAGATATATATTGTATATATTATATATATTATATTATCTATATTATATATATTATATAAATTGTTTATTTATATTACATTCTATTTAATATATATATAATTTTAATTATTTATATCATATATATTTTATATATCATATATATATATATATTATCCTTTTTTTTTAAAAAAAAACACATATTTTCTTATATATATATATATTTAATACATGTATATTAATTAGATATTATATAACATTTATTATGTTACACAAAAATTGTTTATACATATATTTATATATCATTTACGTACTGGTTGCATCCCCGCATTTCACGGTGGTGAAATCGCCAACTTTTCAACCTTTTTTACACGTTTTTTGTGGCATCGTTCTAAGGGTTTCTTATGATCTAGCGGGTGAGCGATGTTTGTTTTTGAAGGTGGGGGCGCCAGCTGGTTTTGATGGACAAAAAAAACAGGGATAAATTTTGATGAATAGTTGGTGAATGGTTGGTGAATGGATGAATATATCATCGCAAACCATGAAAAAAACGGAACCATGGATTTCATAAAAACTTTCAGTCCTATGTTCTGACAAAATTTTTCCCACCCGGCTCCATCAACTCGGCTAGAATCATCCGTTGACAACTGTCCCAGCTATAATTTCTCCATTTAGTTCAGGGATTTTCCATTGGTGGTGCCCTCCCAGTGATGGAAGTGTTGGTTGAAAAAAACCATAGGAACTAGTTCGATGTTTTGAAACGTAGTTACCCTCTGGTAAACATGCAAGAAACTATGGAAAATCACCATGCTATCAATATTGATGGGTAATTTTTAATCACCATCTTCAATAGCAAACTGTAACAAATTACCAGAGGGTAACAAGGTGGTGCCCCCCAGTTATAAATTGGTTATAATCACCATTAACAATAGATATATCACCTGTAAACCATAGTTATTAGAGTTATAAATGTCCTTAGCTAATTATGGGCCACCACCTCGTTGCCACGTAAACGTCACCTGTGGAAGTGCTGGGTGGGCACTTCCCAAACTGCAGTGAGGCAACCTCCTTCCAGACGAAAGATGTCTACTGTCCCGGAAGGAAATGGGGGGGGTCTTAAGATGTCTTAACTTCCTTTAAAAATGACAATATGACAATATGATGGTTGTATAATTGGATGGATCCTAGGATTTTTGACTTCTGTGGTTAATAACTAGCGTACTATCCATTAATGTTGGTAAAACAGTAAGAAACCAGCCTCAATTTCACCAAAAAAAGTAGGTGGTTTATATAAACCATTCCCAGGAAAATGGGTGGTTTATCAGTATTAACCATCCAGCTGGATTTGCGAGTTCCTTGGGAATTTCCGGAGCAACTCGAAGAAAATGCTTGGTTTGAATGCAGGAAAGCAATTGTTTCGGGGTTTAATAGTCAAATGGGTATGGGATCAATACCTATAAGTACCATTTTTAGTGGGATGAACATCCATTTACCAGCTATTTTGGGGTTCACCAGGGGTACCAGGGTTTTGACCCATCCCCAAATGTATATCTGGAGATGAATGGATATGATTTCAATCATGGGAGCGCGTTCTACAGCGTTGAGTTGGGGATGACAGTGGGTTTGGCATCAGTTCATCATGCTTCAGATTTTCGTGGTCACAATCAGCATACCCTCTGGTAATTTAACATAGCTATAGAAAATCACCATTTTTAATGGGAAAATCCACTATAAATGGCCATTTCCAATAGCTATGTTAGTTTACCAGAGGGTAATTATATGAATCCATGTAGGATTTACAGCTTCATCTTGATCTTCATCTTGTCATCCATTCATCATTCATTCATTGTTTGGAACACTATCATCCTGATGCTGACCTGGTTTTGTTTGCATGTAAATCCCATGTTTGAGTTGTTAAGCACATAAAACATGTTCTTGTAACCGCCTCCTTTTCAATGGTTGAACCCCCAATTGAACTGGAACTTTAACGGCTAAGTCCTCAATATTATACAACGATAATCTCTGGATTTTATCAGTTATATCTCTGTGAATGATAGTTATATTAGATATTACCATATTGATATCACCTATCAGTTGCCATTTCTCAATGTCTTTGGATGCTTAAACACCTTAAAACCAAAAAGACTGGTGATTATTCATTCATATTTTATGAGTATAAAGCAATCATTATTCCATTATTATCCCTATAGTATGTATGACCCATAGCCATTGATCTCCACAAAAAACCACCACAATCATCCCATTCGTACCCCATTTGTTTTTGCATCAACTATACGTAGATACATCTACCAGAAAGCATATAGTTAACCATTATATATCATCTATATCTCATGAAATTTCCATGAATATCCCATATTCCAGTTATCATTGAATATCCCATATCCCATTCATATTATATTCAATCTATATACCATGTTAACCATTATCATAAAAAAATATATATTCATCATAATATATATATACATTATACATCATCATATATATATATTTATTTATCATAATATATATATATTATCATCGTGGTGAATAATATTATCATTATATTAACATTATATTAGTTGTTAACCATTATCGTTATTGATCTAATGTTAAACATTTTTTGAAATTATATCATATTATATCATACTATCGTTATTGATATACCATTACAATACCAATATCGTTAAATCAATGTTTAAGGTTTAAACATTATATTATATGATATTTTCCATGAATATTCCATATTCCATGATATTTCCATTGTATCCTTATGAAATATCACCATTTTTTTTAGCCGGGTCGACGTGTCAAAGGTTGCCTTCACTTGGTCGGGCATCCCTTTGCCCATCAAGCGACAGGTGAGAACGTTTGGAGGGAGCTGGAGGGAGCTACGGGTATAAACATATTCCCTATACACTCTGGTTATTTAACCGTTTGCCATGGAAAATGGCCCATAGAAATAGATGATTTTTCCGGCTAGAAACCTCCATTTAGAAGGGATTTTCCATGGCTATGTTAAATAACCAGATGGTATATTCTTAGAGTTTCCCAACCATCTAATAGATTATTATTTTGAATCATATTCATATGATTTGATATGTATATATATATACTTATATATACTTATATATATATATTATAGAAATATAGAAATATAGGCATATAGACATATTAATATGGGGAGAGAATTCAGCATGCAAATAGTTTACTAGGTCAATCTTGGATGAGTAGTTTGATCCTTTAGTCTTAGATGGTATCAATGGGATTATCTACGTTCACCAGCTAAGAAATTATTTTTTTGCAGGGTATCTAAGATTGGCCATGATGATAGATTATGTTATTTTTATTAGCCCTGAGATTTCTATAATAGGAACTTAATATATTTCTTTCTATTAGCCACTAATAATTGGTTGGTCACTAATAATTGGATATATATAACAATAATAATAACATATCAAATTATTAGTGACTAATAGAAAGTTAATTCAATTATTGTTTAATTGTTCTATCTAATGTTTAGTGGCTAATCACTGGCAAATGTAAATAGATTGCTGATTCGTGCAAGATGTTGGCTTTGCCAGTTCTTATTGCCATTATATGTATCTAGTAATTAGTGAAAACTGGCTAGTAACTGGCAAACATATGCATGCAGCTACTGAGAGTCTATAGTATGGTAATCTACTTTTAATCTTTACTATATATATATATATATACACATGCTCTATACAACAAAAGATATATATATATATATACACATGCTCTATACAACTATAGATATATCTCCCATAATCCAGTAATACGTATGCAGCTACTAAATCAACTGGATATCTACTTATTAATGGAGAAAAGAAACCATTGAGTTGGAGCAGGGTATGGCAAGGGAAAAAACATGTTATACATATATATATGTACAGTGACTCTGAAATAGATGGAACAGTTAGAAACCAGTGAATGCTATGGAAGCAGGGGAATAAGGCGCTTCAGTTGGCCATTTTTGTTGCTCGCCCATCGAGCTGATCTTCCATGATATCCCCAGATTTCCCTCCAAATTTAGTTGCCTTTTCGGAGGTTTTCCTATGACATGTCTCATGAAATACAGTGGATGCTTGCGAAATCCTGCATCAGTAAATACATGGTTTATCCCATTATTTATAGGCGTTCTACCATCCCAGGTGGTGCAGGATTTCGCAACCATCCACAGTATCACCATAAAATGAAATCAAGCATTGTAAGATCTACCCTTTGTTTGTGTCATCAAACATGGTTTGCTGGAAAATCCACTATGACTTTCAAATTGTTCCCATTGAACTATCCATTTATAGAGCATTTCCCAGTGCGCCACGTTTGATGACACAGTTGCGGGTAATTTTCCCTTTTTCTGACAACTGGGTTGTACTATGATTATTGGCCACTTATCTTTCCTATGTATATTCCCATTACTGTTTCATGACACCCCACTAATTTCTCATTAATATCCATTATTTTCCTATTGATAGTCTAATAGTCCATCAATATTCATCACATCATCCCATTCAATCTTCTGAATATTCCACAAAAATATCCATTACATAATCTGGGTAAATTTGATCACGACCTCACTGTTCTCCCTCACTATAATCATGGTTAGTAAGGGGAATCATCCCCAACATAGCCTTATTTCAGGTTAGTGAATTTAATCTTAATTTACCCAGATTAATTCATATGAAAATTCTCACGAAGTCCCATTGGATCTTTCCATGATTTTCCTCCTGGCGTTCCCATGATCTTCCAATGAGCTTCCCATTATTCCCGTGATATGTCCATGAATGTCCCATGAAATCCACTGATTTTGTCCACCAAAATCATCCCATGAAATCTCCACCAAACCATCCTGTATCATTGGATTGGTTTAAGGGAACATCACCGGAAACCATGGGTTTTTACCATCAATTTCTTGAGGTTTTTCCTGTAAATTTTCCCGTGACCAATCCAATGACTGTACAAAGTGGTGCCCCCCAGTTATAAATTGGTTTATAACCCTATTATAGTTCTAAGTACCATAAACCATAGTTTTCAGCAACTTATAAGGCAACTGAACGCTATCCAACGGGGGCCCCACATTGTATGGACAATGGCTCATGTGTAGATGATTTATGATGACTTGCTTATTAAAGATGGTGATTTTCCATAGTTACGTTCAATCACCTTAGGGTAGCTGTACATGGAGGAACAAAAAAGAATCCAAGTTGAGGAGAAATCACACCTGAAAACCAATGACTGTAGAAGCTCCCCCAGCCCCCGCGGCTCCCGCGGCGCTCTAGGTGAAGTTTAACTGCCAGGGCTGCGAGACCAAGGAAGCGCCCTGCGACTGCGCCAGTCTCTCGACGCTGAAGAGCGATCGGTGTTGTGCCGCGCGCGCAACGGGGCCGTGGACGAAAACCATAGGAAAACCATGGGAAAACCACGGGAAAATGGTGATTTAACCTTGGAAAATGGTGCTTCATAGGTGAAAATCATGGTTTCACCATGGGAAAAATGGTGGTTGAACCGAGTCAAATGGGGATTTCATCAAGAACACCCAGAAAAAATATGGGATTTGAGTAAGAACATTTTGGCTGATTTATGATAGCTAAGTTGCTGCCAATAACTCCAATAACTATGGTTTATGATACTTATAACGAACTAGTTCATGGAGTTTATAAATGTTTATAAACCAACAAACATAACTGCGGGGGCCCCACATTGTAGTTATAAGCTATAACCCTAGTTATCAGAATTATAAGCGGATGAACAGCAAAGATAGGGATTTCGGAATTTCATAGGGATGATTCATGTTTTTTTTGGGCAGGGATTGTACTACCTGATATACTGGTTGGTGGTTTGGAACAGGTTTTTCCATATATCGGGAATGTCATCATCCCAACTGACGAACTCCATCATTTTCAGAGGGGTTGGTTGAAACCACCAACCAGGGTTGATTGATGATTATTAGGGGGTCATATGGTAATTTTATAGGGATTTGAGTAGGGAAAAGCATAGAAACCGTCACCAAAAGCACAGCCTGGCAGGGATAATCTAGATGAATCAATGTTAATGAACCAAGTATGCGAATATATTCGATTATATTTATATATATATTTATATATAGATTAATTTGATCATGACCGCATGCCGTGATGTCAGTGACCGCATGTCATTTTTCACGTCATGGTCTTCGGGCCCGGGGCCGGGATCGCGGCCGCGTCGTCCCAGGTGTGCCATATGCTTTTACCGTCAGCAACATCAAGGTGGGGTCGGCATGAGTTTCGTAGCTGGACCCCGGGGTTGGTGAAAAGTGGTTGCAAAATGATGGTATGTAAATAACTACCCTCTGGTAAACTAACATAGCTATTGAAAATGGCCATTTATAGTGAATTTTCCCATTAAAAATGGTGCTTTTCCATAGTTATGTTAGTTTACCAGAGGGTAACCTGGTTGGTGGTTTGGAACATGACTTTTATTTTTCCCAATAGTTGGGATGATTTTAATGGGAATTCACCAGCCAAAATGATGGTATTAATAGGAATACCCTCTGGTAATTTGTTACATGGCTATTGAACATGGCCCATAGAAATAGTGGATTTGCCCATTGATAGCATGGTGATTTTCCATAGTTTTTTGTATGTTTACCAGAGGGTAAATAACTATATAGTAACTATATAATGTAAATAGTAACTATATGATTTATGTAAATAAATGATATGTAAATAACTATATGATTTACTATATGATTTACTATATGAATTACTATATGATTATGTCATATTTTCATTTTGCAACCACTTTTCACTAATATGTATACTTTTCTTATAACTGTATGATTTATGGGATTTATCGGGGTAGCTATCCCTATGGCTGGCCATATCCCATTCCGTTTGGTAAATTAACATCGCTATGGATGTATACCATGCATACTATATAATAATAACTATATGATTTATGGGATTTCATAGGGATAATTGGGATAATTGGCATAATTTTATGGTTCATGGTTCTTGTAGCTTTACTTACAACTTGTTGGTTAGTAAGTGGCAAAAAACATCTGGCCAAGTAATGGATTATAAGCCACTTGCTAATGACTAATCCCATGACCTATCGAAGTAAGGTTCTCAGACTTGGAAAGCCCCAGGTTTTAAAGGGAAGATCTGAGTTTCTTCACGGAAAATCAAACCAGGAATCCCGATTTCGGAGAGTTCATCAAACATGGCGGGCCGCAGGAAAGTCCCCGAACTCGAGGTTTAGTTCGCTGGAAAAATCCATGAATCCCAGAACCATCTGTGCACCCTCCCGGATGGCCGGCTGGAAAACCCATGAATCCATCATTTCACCAGGTGGTTGGTCCACAATTTTCCGGGAGACCAGGAATATGGAGTACTGTTTCTGGTTGGTGGTGACTGGAACCATGGATTTTTGAATGACTTTCCATATATTAGGAATAATAATCCCAACGGACGAACTCATTTTTTTACAGGGGTAGGTATACCACCATTAAGGGTTATATTTTCTTTGGCTTCTTCAAGCAGAATCCTGACATTTTCGAGTCATGTTTCCAAGTTTTCCACGGTTTTGCCCGGCCACGACTTGGGCCATGCCCCGAGGGTGGGGTTCTCTGAAGCCTGCTACACCTGGTCCATCATTTGACCCTTTGGCAATCAAACATAACTATGGAAAATCACCATTTTTAATGGGGAAATCAACTATAAATTGCCATTTTCCATAGCTATGTTTACCAGAGGGTAGCCTTTGGCAATCAAACATGCTTCGCTCGAAAATAATCCAAATTTAAAATCAGTTCGATGCCAGTTCGAGGAGTTTGCCATTTTGTCAGAAAACTCATGAAAACTCATCTGGTTGGTTGTTTGGAACCATGGAATTTTATGACTTTCCATTCAGTTGGGAATGTCATCATCCCAACTGACAAACTCCATCATTTTTCAGAGGGGTTGGTTGAAACCACCAACCAGGGTTGATTGATGATTATTAGGGTGTCATATGGATTTAAACCATGATTTAATTGTCATTTTATAGGGATTTGAGTAGGGAAAACTCCATATGAAAACATCATGTGAGTAGGGAAAATTCCGTGAATTATGGTTATCCACTTGTTATTATCAATTATGGTTAACTCTTAACAGTAATGGAGGATTTTTTTCCCATTCAAACCCCCGACTTCGATGATTCTCCCATCGTTTCGGATATAATCCCGTCAGAAACCCTCGGCAGGTGACACACACCGCGCCACCCGAGCGCACACCCAACGAGCCGTGCCTCGAAACGAAAAGACAGAAGGGATTCACCTGCAAGAAAAAATCATGTCATGATGTAAAACCAACTTACTACTTACCAAAATATGATGGAATTACGATGTGTTCATGAGTTTGACGAGCTTTGGAAGATTTGGAAGATTGATCACCAGGCAGTGATTTTTTTTTGGGTAAATTGAGTAACTTTTCGGAGGTCAAATCGGTGAAATCATGAAGATTTCCCACTCTTGTGATCATTTCTGACGCAGAAAATTGATGCAACCGTGGCATGGGGCTGTAAAAAAACATGTCAATGTAAAGCCGAATTTTTCCAAAGTAACTTGGCCTTTCTGGGATTGATGGTGGAGAAAAAGAAATAGTAACTATAGTTGACATACAACTGGGGGCGCAGGAACTGAGGTTGTAAATGGCTACAACAATGGTTACAACCCCAGGAATAACCGGATCCCTTAGGTCACTAGGTCTGAAACTACGCCCAATTTCCGGTCCCAAAATGTTCACCACCAGTTACCTGTTATGAAAAAACCAGGTTTTTCAGGATTCAATGTCTGAATATCGATTCTATCCCCAATTTTCTTGGTCATGAGATATCCTATTTGGTGAATGGTAATTTCAGGATCTTAAAATGGAGGCACGTTAGTACCATGTAATGCCATATTTTGTGGGGATATTCCCTTACATAGGCTTAAAAAATAGGCCTTATATATGGTAGGTACCTCAAATCAATCGGTTCCTGAGTCATGACCATTGATCTGGTGGTGAATGGAGGGAGTGATGAGCGGTTGGAATTTTTTCCCGACTTTTCGGAGCTACTTAGAGCCACAAGGCTTGCGTTTCCCACATGATAGGAACTTGGGTCTGAAATACATAGACAAAAATGCAGAGCCAACAACTTTCCTCATAATATCCCCATGGTATTCCCATGAATGTCCCATTGAACCCCAATTGAAGCCCATTAAATTTCATTAATATCCCATTTATATCCCATTTATATCCACTAATTTTGAATTTTATGACTTTCCATTCAGTTGGGAATGGAATAACATCCCAACTGACTTTCACTCCATCATTTTTCAGAGGGGTTGGTTGAAACCACCAACCAGCCATGAAATCCCCATTCATAATCCCAAATCCCATTTGAATATCCCAATAGATATCCCATGATATGATCCCCATGATATGCATATTTATATCCCATAATAATATCCCAATAAACCTCATTAATATCCCAATAGATATCCCATGAATATCCCCATGATCCTAGATCTAGGATAAATATGAATATCCTAGATTAGGATATAAATGAAGATCTAAGATCCCCATAAATGATAGGATATAAATGGGATATAAATGGGATATCCCCATAAATGATAGGATATAAATTATATAAATTAGAAAATTATTAGGATAATATGATATAGGTGCTAGGATACTTCTCCGTGTCCCTCAGCAGCCTTTCCTCACGACTCGATACGACTCGATGTTTGTCGCCGAGGGGAACCACTCCCGGTGGCGGTGCTGGTGGAGGCTCATCACTGGCATCTTGACGACGATGATTCACGAGTTGTTAAGGGCTTATTAACCAGCAAAGGACACTGGAGGACGAGAGGAACCAAAAAGAATGGATGTTTTTCATGGGATTTCATGGGATTTAAGCAATTTTTGTGGTGATTATACTGATTTTACGGATTTTATGGTGATTCATAGGGAATTCACCAACCAAAAATTACCCTCTGGTGTTGGAAAACGCAGGGATTTCTGATGGAGATTGATAGGGATTGATAATGATATTGATGTTTAACACCAAGCTGTGGCCAGCTCATTGATGATTAACCAATGCTGCTTTAATGGATTTTATGATGATTCAGAATGAATTCACTAACCAAAATGGCGGATAATTAGAAGTGGCCAGTGTTTTGATGATTAACCAACAATAATGCTGATTTTTCATGGAAAATATGATGATTTTAATGGGAATTCACCAACCAAAATGATGGTATTAAACGGAAAATTTAATAGGAAATACCATCTGGTAGTTTAAAATAGTTAGTGCAAATGGCCCATTTATAGTTGTTTTACCGATTTACCTATTACAAGTGGTGATTTTCCATAGTTATGTTAGAAGATTACCGGATGAGTTTATTTCATTGGGGTTGTAAAACCAACTTATATAATATGGCTTATGACTTGGCTAACTTGGATTTATGGTGGATATATCTACACGGTAACGGCATTTAAACATGTGGAGGGCGGGCCAGACTGCGAGGCCCCGGAGGTAGTATGAAACACCAGTTCCATCCGTATAATATTTAAATGGCCGGGCCTGTTCCGCATATTTAAATGTCGATTCAAGCACAGTTGAACCATTAGCTAAGGACCGCCCAAGAAATTTTCAGCCTACCCTGGAGTGCGTAAAGTACTATAGGCTATAGGTGGGAATATGGGGATTGTAAGTGAGTACCACCACAAAACCCCCCACAAATCCACCACAAAACCGTACCCACCGCACCCCCCATCGTACCCCGTACCCAACCCGCAGTACCCCCTGACCGTACCCCGACGGCGCATGCGTCTAAGAAACCTACGTATGTTTTTATATGTTTTGCACGATAAATATAAATCCATACTTCAAGTGGGCGCGCCACGGAAAATACCAGTTCGTATATTTTGAATCCGTATGGTTAAATTATCAACCAAAATATGTTACCCCTACATCTACTGGCTAATCATCACCTTTCCTACAAGTATTTACAATACAATATATTATATTGGGGCGGGGCATGTGACGCAACAGAAAACGACAGGTTGTTAATGAGCCATTAACAGTGGTCACAACTTCAAGCACTAGACTACTTTGAAATTAAATCTCTGCACAAAAGCTGCTATCAGAAGGTTGTTGCTGGGTATTTGGGGGTGCAGTCACAGTCATCAGTGGATATATATATAACCATAGTCATAGGAGGTTATATCCCAAGTTGTTGGGTCTCTTTCACCAGTGTTATACCCATTTACACCCAATTGCACTACTGTAAATACATTTAAATATACGGATTTTTAAATATACGAACTTGTATTTTGGACTACCTCCGGGAAGGTTTTCCGTGGCCCGCCCGGCCTTGTGGATAATCATGATGTTATTGAATTCCTGGGGATATGCTGTAATGGGGATGTAGCGGGTATATACCGTTAACCATTATTAAACCGTATTAACCACTCTTAAACAATACCAACCACTATGAATCACTTTTAACCCAAACTAATTGCACACTATTCACACTATATACTTCGATGGGCCCTGGGAGTAGTGACTTCTGTGGTTAGTAACTGGCTATTAATGTCACTATTAAAGACTACAAAGCGATACAAATACCACTATCAACCACTATTTATTATTTTTTTAAGAATAATTTTTATTGTTATGTAACCAGCATTTTCATCATTTTCACCTACTAACCACTATTTCACCACCATTATCATCTATTAACCACCATCTAAAACCACCATTTTCATTTATAAAGCACCAATTTCCAAGGTTAAATCACCATTTTCCCATGGTTTTCCCATGGTTTTCCCATGGTTTTCCCATGGTTTTCCCATGGTTTTCCCATGGTTTTCCCATGGTTTTTGTCCATTTTCATCCGCATTTATTCTTCGCGTCCCGAGATGATGACCATCCTGGTGCCCATGGGAATCGCCCTGGCGGCCCCTTGTATGCGATGAAAACAAAACGGAAGAAGATGTGGTGAAGAATGGCGAATTTGAATGTTTACCCCTTTAATCAATGGCCCATTTATAGTTGATTTACCGATTTACCTATTAAACATAGATATCCTTTTCCCATTGGTTGGTTGATAGAGGGGTTTGAACGTTTACCCTTTAACAACAGGTAAGTTTGATGATAATGTCAACCCCGGATGAGACTAAACCATGGTTTATCTCAAATAGACAGCCAAATCTAATCAACCTTTATAGCGGATGGGTTCATTATGTCAATGGCCATTTCAGGAACCGATTTATTGGAGGTACCTACCATATATAAGGCCTATTTTTTAGGCCTATGTAAGGGAATATCCCCACAAAATATGACCTTATACGGTACAGTTTGATGATAATGTCAACCCCGGATGAGACTAAACCATACTAAACCATGGTTTATTCATTGGGGGGGTAATCCTCCAATAGTCATAATCTGATACTTACATCGTACCCTCCCAATTAAACAGCCTGGGGGTTTCTTAATCCAGGGTTGACATTAGATGGTATACCAAACCGGCCCTCTGTTTTTTTTACAGGGATTGTACCACCTGATATACTGATTGGTGGTTTGGAACATGAATTTTATGACTTTCCATCTATTGGGAATAGTCATCCCAACTGACTAACCACATCTTCTGGTGAATAAGAATGAGCATCTGAAGTGTGAATAAGCATCATTAATCCATCAATAGCTAGCTGGGAAATCAAACATAGCTAGCCGCAAAATCTCCAATAAATACCCTCTGGTAGTTTAACATGGCTAGTGCAAATGGCCCATTTATAGTTGATTTACCGATTTACCTATTAAACATTGATATCCTTTTCCCATTGGTTGGTTGATAGAGGGGTTTGAACGTTTACCCCTTTAACAACAGGTAAGTTTGATGATAGATGGTATATCAAACCGGCCCTCTGTTTTTTTATGTTTTTTTTACAGGGATTGTACTACCTGATATACTGATTGGTGGTTTGGAACATGAATTTTATGACTTTCCATCTATTGGGAATAGTCATCCCAACTGACTAACCACATCTTCTGGTGAATAAGAATGAGCATCTGAAGTGTGAATAAGCATCATTAATCCATCAATAGCTAGCTGGGAAATCAAACATAGCTAGCCGCAAAATCTCCAATAAATACCCTCTGGTAGTTTAACATAGCTAGTGCAAATGGCCCATTTATAGTTGATTTACCGATACCAGATGGTAACCATCATTAATATGGTGAATGTAAGAATGGTGAATAATGGTTAATGATGGATTAATCATGGTGAATGGTGAATTATGGTTAACCAGTTGTTTTTATCAATTATGGTTATTTTTTTGTAATATTGGTTAATCACCATCATTAACCATCCTTGTTAACAAGTAAAGTATGGACCAGTATTAACCTTAATAATGTGGTAATTTGTGAATGTTAACCATCATTAATATATGGAATGTGAAAAATCATCAGAAAACTTCTTAATCCATCATGAAAACCATTGTTAAAAGTTAATTGGTTAATGGATGGATTTTACATAATTAACAAACACCACATCTTCCCCGCGATCTTTTTTAAACGCAACAATGGTTTTTCTAATTGGTTAACAATGTGGTGTACTGTAAAAGTGTTGTTTTTTTTTAATGGTTGGCTTGATGAAAAGAAGAGATGGTGAAGATCAACTTACAGAATTCATTTTAAGAATCGTGAATGGTTAATGATGGTCAAGAATGGTTTATGATGGTTATTTACTGATGGTTATTTTAATATTAATGGTGAATGTGTTGGTTGGTATTCATGATGGTTGCTAAATGATGGATTATAGGATATTTTTTTGGCAGATTATAAATGGGGTAATATATGGATGAAGACATGGGGTTATTTATGGTGGACAAAGCAGTGATTACCCTCTGGTAAAGGTTAACAAAAAACTGTGGGAACATCACCATTTTTAATGGGTAAATCAACTATTTCTACGGCAATTTTCAACCACCATAGAATGTGAATCTGTAGGAAAATTGGAATCGAAGTAACCAACATCTTAGGATCTAACCATTGAAACACTGTTAAAATCACCATTTTCAATAGCAAACTGTTAGTTTACCAGAGGGTAGTTACATCCCTTTTTTCTTGATCCCCGTGATTCCCCTATGTTTGTTGGTGGTATGTTACTGTATGTTAGTTGGTTTAGATTCGCCCCATGAAACCTATAGTTATAAGTACCATAAACCATAGTGAAATTGGAGTTATGTTCACCAACTCATCCATTTATGGTACTTATTGGAGTTATAAACCATAGTTATTGGAGTTATAAAACAAACTCATCCATTTATGGTACTTATTGGAGTTATAAACCATAGTTATTGGAGTTATAAACCAACTCATCCATTTATGGTACTTATTGGAGTTATAAACCATAGTTATTGGAGTTATAAACCAACTCATCCATTTATGGTACTTATTGGAGTTATAAACCATAGTTATTGGAGTTATAAAGCATAGTTATTGGATTAACTCCATTTGTGAATCCATAAGGCGGGTTCTGAAGTCATAAGGGCTACCCCAGTCGTCACCATGGACGAGTGAAAATCAAGATCGACCATTGGTCGACCATGACGACTGGATGATAACTGGGGGGTACCCCATGTTAGGCACCCTCCATGTACAGGAACCTGAACATGTGTGTTGATATCTTATGGATCTATGGGATGAATTAGGATGTTTTAGGAATGTTTATGATGATTTATTATGATGATGTTCGATGATTTCTGATTTTATGATGATGGGTTTTCGCTTGTCTCCACTCTTGGGTGCTAAATGGTTGGTGAATAATGGTAAATAGATGCTACATGGTGGAAATCGCGGCTCGATTTCTGTGGTGGCAGCTCAACAAAAAACACCAGAGTTTGGATCCCAACGTCCGGGGGAATGATTGGACTTGGCGGGTGTAAATATGTTCACATTTTTAGAGGACTACCCTCTGGTTATTTGTTACATAGCCATGGAAAATGGCCATAGAAATAGTGGATTTACCCATTAAACATAGTGATTTTCCATAGCTATGTAAACGTTTACCAGAGGATTAAAAATGGTGATTTTCCATGGCTATGTTAAATAACCAGATGGTAAATCAAACTTCAAAACTGTAGCTAAATGAGGGTCAATTCATCATCCAACTTACATTCGGAGGTCAGCTTTGCTATAATGGTATGCGGCAATGGTGTGATTGGTGAAGATGTGCCACTGTCTATTAAACAAGCATAACAAGGAAAAGCAAACGGATGGATATTATGGCACCCTGGGATAAAATATAACATAGACGTGGAAAATCAACCATTTCTAGACCACTTTCCTGGGTTTTCATGGTTTTTCCACTATGATAGTTTACCCTATGAAAACATCTGCGGCCTAGGTTGCAGCGTGTGTGGCATTCCTCTGTTGCTACGTTTGCAGCGAGGATCGGCCGTAAATCCATGCGGTTCTCCTCATAAATGGTGGTGCAGTACTAGTCATTAATGGTTTAGTAAGTGGTGAACGAAACTGGGGTTAGGAAAAAACCATTTGGGGGTTTCCTAAAATGGGGGCACCCCTAGTTATCATCCATTTGTAGATGGGATAAAAACCATCCAGCTATTGAGGAACCCCCATGACTATGGAAACCTCGAAACCTAAATAAAAGAATTGGGAAACTATGGAAACCTCGATGTATAACTGGGACCCACCGACCTGAGGAGACCCACTCAGTTACTTCAGCCATTTGTCAATGGAAATCCCACGTTTTTTTTGGGGAATCCGATCAGATTTTCCGTCCTTCTGGGTCAGATTTTTTTGTCAGATACGAACTATGGCAATACCATAGTAACAATAAAATATTATAAAGATTATTTTTTACCATCATTATTAACTATAAAGATTATTAATCTTTTATTGGCTTATCATTAATAATAATGTTAAGTAACTACTTTATTATTAATCTTTAAAATCTTTTGCCAATGGTGAAATGTACTCACCAGCTATTTTTTTTTTTGGCAGGTATCTAAGATTCACCGACCATGCATGGGGGAAAACCGAAAGCTTTCCAGTTTTGAGATGAACACGGTGATTTGAGAATTCTGGGTGTCTTTTGAGACAACCTCATAGTATCTCGTAGTGGTTCCATGTGCGTTTCAAGCTGTGTACCCTCTGGTGATTTGAGAGCACCATCGCGATTTTTCATCTGTAGATGATTTTTCCAGTAAAGCTGGAGACTTGTTGTCTTTGATTTCAAAAGCAGAAAACCATATGGGGTTACCCCAATAGCTGGATCGTTTTTAATTAATGGAACACATCTTAAAATGGATGATTTGGGGTGGCCACCATTTTAGGAAACCTCCACTTGGATTCCCAAAAACATACAAGATGAGCAGAGAACATGATGATACGCAATTAGATGTACAAGATGAGCAGTTTTCACATGATGATACGCCGATACGCAATCAGATGTTGGGGGGTTTCTCCTTAAATTTTCAGACAAACTCACCCTACGAGACATTACATCCCATTACATCTCTATATCTCCCCATGATTCCGCATATGTTTGTTGGTCGTCTATATATAACATCTATGCCATTCATCTACCATTAACGTTCCATCAAGATTCCATTGGATGTACCCTCTGGTAAACGTTTACATAGCTATGGAAAATGGCCCATTTACAGCTGATTTACCATAAAAAATGGTGATTTTCCATAGTTTTTTTGTATGTTTACCAGAGGGTAATGGTAATAAAGCAATAGGATCCACCATCCCACATTTACGATTTTGATGGATTTGTAACGTCGCGGTTGCTGCGGTTGGATTTTAATTTGTTGGAATCAAATGTGGCGCATGTGGCGGCACGTAGTCATTTCATATCATAAATGGGGGTTTCCATAAATGGGGGTACCTCCAAATGGCGATTTGGGGGTACCCCATGGTACAGGAAACTTCCATTTCATGATAGAATGTCAGCTAGCGAATCCCGGAAAGGTTGGGTACCCATGGTACCCTCTGGTAAACCTTTACATAACGATGGTGGGTAAATCCGCTATAAATGGCCATTTTCAATAGCTACGTTGAATTACCAGAGGGTAACATTCCATTGGTTTTTAATGGACAACACCTCTTGAAAAAGCGCGTCGATTGCTGAAAGCATGTCCTGTGATTGACATCAAGTCTTGCCAACCATTGCTGATCGCTTGCTTCCAAGGAAAACACAAGAAAAGGAATTACAACATAAGCTAGGAGATATGCTAAAAAGTGCAAGAGAAAATCTCACAACGTAAAGACAAGAGCCGATGACGCAACGTAACCCAAAACACGTCACAATGTGCTAGTGCAAGAGAAGATCTCACAACGTAGCATTCCCTGTCTGCAAAGATACGAGAACGTACGTATGCATACCATGTATATTATAAGCATGACTAACCATGACTAACCACTATTAACCATTACTCGTTGGTGGTTATAAACATTTTTTATTTTTCCATATACTGGGAAGAATCATCATCCCAACTGACTTTCATACTTTTCAGAGGGGTAGGTATACCACCAACCAGATTAACCATTAGTTTACCCATGTTTACCCTAGGGTATCTCGCTATCTGTCGTTTAACGTTTCATCATCACAGCGCCCGGCGCCAACGTTTCGCTCGTCCAGGATGACGTTGAGAATGTGCGGGCCAGTGCCTTTCCGAAAAGCGGTTGGGGTGTGTGGTCACTCCGAGGTCATCGTTAGGTCAGCGGAAACTTAAAGAGGTCGTTAGTTAAATGGGATTTATGAAAAGACGGAGTAGCGGAAACCTAACCACTAACTATTATATTCTATAATATATGGGAGCCGTCCAAAAACCCCAGAAAGGTTTTTAGTAAAGGACCTATTTACCCATTTTTCCCACGGTCTAAAACCTGCATCGCGCAAGTTTCGCGCAAGGCCGGCCCAAGGTACGCGCAAGTACTATTGTTATCATTATTACAAGTACTATTTTTAATTAACACTTTGATTACTACTACTACTACTACTACTACTACTACTACTAGTACTACTACTACTAGTACTACTACTATTATTATTACTAGTACTACTAGTACTACGATTATTACGATTGCTACTACTACTACTACTACTACTACTAGTACTACTACTATTATTATTACTAGTACTACTAGTACTACGATTATTACGATTGCTACTACTACTACTACTATTACTACTACTACTACTACTACTAAGTTGGAAACGACGGTTGTTGGAAACGAACAGCTGCCGATGGTTCCTGCGACGGCTGCCACAAAGGCAGACACTCTCGAAGCAGCAGTGGAAAAACGCCTTGCCATGTTAGGCGAAAGGTTTGGGCGAAGTGCGGCCCACGAGATACTTTCTAGATCCATCGCGATTCTAGAACGGTACCATTCCCAAGAATTACAAGTGCCACAGGAAATCACAATCTGGTGCCTCATATCACTGGCCATCGCGATGTCTGGCTTGGAAGATATCGATGAGAAGCGGAAAGTGCTCCTGCAGCGTTGCCCGCTTGGAGTGGAAGCGATGAGGAACCAAGAGTGTTCTTTGATCATGACTTTGCCATTTGACCAAAGGTCCGGGCTGTAAGAATTTATCCGTCTCTTGCTTGCAAGACATGAACCCAGCAAGCAGTTTGGAAAAAAAACACACGGCGGAGGCCCGCTTCATAGCTCTTATATTCCTGTTGGCCACCCGGCTGTCCCAGTCGGTTATTTGTTTTGGTTGCCAGTTTGCAGGCTCTCCTTGTTTTCGAAGTTGGGAGTAAAGCCGAAAGACGTCTGAAACAGGTCTGAAACAGGTCTGAAACAAATATGTTCTTTGCAATTCCAACCACACAGCCAACCAACCAAACAACCAACCAACCAACCAACCAACCAACCAACCAACCAACCAACCAAGGCAGCCAGCCAGCCAGCCAGCCAGCCTAATTAGTTATCTAGTTGCTGATCGTAAGGGACAGCTTGAGCTACGATTTTTTCTTAGAAGAAATACTTTAATGTTATGAGGCTTGTTTAGTTATCCATGATCGCCAACCAGTATGAATTACCAGTCATCATTATCATTAACCTTCTGGGGCATTATGAAACCGCGTATCGTTGGTCATTACCCATTCGTCACAATCATTTTCAAACCATCATTGTTGGATATATTATTAGGATGGTCTCAATTGGTTACTGCCCATTTTTGACTGACCATCATGAATCTCCATACTTGAAGCATCATCAATCTCCATACTGACCATCATGAATCTCCAATATGGGTTTGTACAAGAATGGTGTGCCCCCAAGACTAGTGGTTTCCCTATCAATAATGGTGATGAAACATGAACTTGGATGGTCAGTAAGTATTACCACCTATGGGCAACCCCGATTAACTACCAATGAACAATTAACCTTCATAATTCAATGGTCTGTAAGTTGGAATCGGCTGCCCGATTGGTCTGAAACAGGTCTGAAAAGGGTCTGAAAACACGGAAAAGTGCCATACATAGAGAGTGTATGTAAGTGAATCCACACAGGAAAGTAAGCAAACAGAATAGTGCGAGGCAAATTAAGGAGAGAAAGTAACAAACCAGAAAAGGTAAAGTAACAAGGTCAGTCGAGAATTAACAAGAGAGGTTTTCAAGTAAGCAAGTGAGTAACATAGGTATTGCCCGTAAAGTAAGTAAAGCAAGTAGGTGAATAAGCAAGAAATTCATACATGTGAAATAAAACAAATAAGCCAAAGAATTGAAACCGGTGAGTGGATAATGCGTAAATTAAAAATAAATCAGCAAAAACAATCAATAAGTACAGTACCAGTATTCAAATTAATAATAATAGTAGTAGTAGTAGTCGTAATAGCAAAAGTAAAAATAGTAGTAATAGTAATAATAGCAGCAGCAGTTGTAATATTTGTGATAACAATAAAAGTAGTAATAGTAGTAGTAGTAGTAGTAGTGGTAGCAGCAGCAGCAGCAGCAGTAGTAGTAGTGGTAGTAGCAGCAGCAGCAGTAGTAGTAGTAGTAGTGGTAGCAGCAGCAGCAGTAGTAGTAGTAGCAGCAGCAGGAGTAGTAGTAGTAGTAGCAGCAGCAGGAGTAGTAGTAGTAGCAGTAGTAGTAATAGTAGTAGTAGTAGTAGTACTAGTAGTAGTAGTAGTAGTAGTAGTAGTAATAGTAGTAGTAGTAGTAGTAGTAGTAGTCGCCAAAGAAATAGTAATAATAGTAGTAATAATTTTGAAAAAATCACACCCATTATAAAAAACAATAATAATTTTAGTATTAGTAATAGCAATCAAATAAGAATAGTAGCGGTAATACTAACAATAACAACACCAAGAATAGTAGAAGTACATTAATATTAAAAGTAATATTGGTAGTATTAGTAGTAGTCATAGAAAGCTGGGGCTACCCTGAGTCTGTAAATTGGAAGCGACTGCCCAATTGGTCTGAAACAGGTCTGAAAAGGGTCTGAAAACACAGAAAAATGCCATTCGCAAGCCCACCCACATACATAGATAGAGTAAGTTGTGAGAGCCAGTATGAAAGTGAATAAATACGAGAAAGTAAGCAAACAGAATAATGTGATGCAACAAAAACGAAAATAAAGGAACCAGAAAAAGTAAAGTAACGCAGTCAATATAGAATTAACAAAAGATATCTTCAAGTAAGCAAGACAGTAACATAGTTATTGCCCGTAGAGACAGAAAGAAAGTAAAGTAATCAAAGCAAGTACGTGATTGAGCAAGTAATCAAAATGAATAAAATAAGTCAAGTAAATCAAATACATAAAATGAGCAAGTAAGTAAGAAAATAAAAAACAGTTAAAAAACTAAATCGAAGTAAAAAAATAGAGTAGGATAAAGTAAAATAAGTAGAGTAAAGTAAATAAAGAAAATAAAATAAGGAGACTAAGTCAAAAACAAGTAAAATAAGTAAAGTGAGTTAAGCAAATTAAGTAAGTAAGCCAAACAAAACCCGTAAAAATAGATAAAGAAATAGACTAAGTGATAATTAAGTGAATACTAAATATTAAACATTCGAAAACAAGTATGAGAATAATAATGAAAAGCAAATGAAATGATGAAAGTGATCCGGGAGTGTGGTCGCGCAAGAAACGCGCAAGGTTGGCGCAAGGCCGGCCCAAGAGGCCTTTGTGGGAACAATAATTTAGGACAACCTCCATATATATATATATCAATTATATATCTATAACTATAATATATACAGTATATAAATATAATATATATATGACTTTATATATATATATAATTCAGGTTTTATAACAATGGATTCATAATAACTATTCATGGATTGTCCATGATGAAAATCACTACTATTAATAGACAATCGCTAAATCCATTTGGAGGTTTCCCTGCTGGTTTTTTACAGAAACCTCCAGAAAAAATCATTTGTTGTAACTTAGTAACCCATTAAAAGATAGAAGAGTTATGAATATCACTATTTTAAAGTGGGATTTTACATTTCAGTTTACTATATCCATTATCTTAGGATTCCTATTGGATGGATTATACCATGTTTTGAGCAAAAGGTAGAATGGGAAAGGAATGGAGATACTATCAGTGGTCAGGGAGCTGAGGACCTATGAGGAACTATGCTTGTATTATGTTGTATTCATATTCCCTTTTTTTCAATGGGGAGGAAATTTTGGAGCTACGAATTTCGTGGGACCCAACCACATGATTTCCAGCCAATCGGTAGAACATGTTAGAAAGCTGGAAATCATAGGAACATTTTGAGATAATTTGATATGATATGGCAAACGCAAGATTATCAAAAATCGATTCATGCTTAATTCCCACCCGTTTCTGGTGATATTGGGGATGCTTTATGGGTTACCACATCTAGTCCCATGGCATCCTGGAGTTGCTGAAAGCGTATGATCGGGTGATCGGGGTAGCTATCCCTATGGCTGGCCTTATCCCATTCCCTCTGGTAAACATACAAGAAACTATTGAATATCATTACTTTTAATAGGTAAATCAACTATAACTGGGCTATTTTCCATAGCTATGCTAAACTACCAGAGGGTATGGTGTTTTATTGAACAATTTATCTACCTGTAATGATTCGCACGTCCATCTCAAGTCTGAGATACACGGTGTATCTACCTGGTAACGACTAGCCTCCGGTCATTTAACATAGCTACTGAACATGGCACATAGAAATAGTTGATTTACCTATTAAAGATGGTGATTTTTCCAGTTCGCTTTTTGTATGTTTACCAGAGGGTAACCGTTTGCTAGGGACAAATCATCATGCTATTAAACACTGTAAATCCTCAAACTGAATGGGCCATGGCTTCCGGCTTGCAAACTGTTAAATTACTGGAGGGTATGTCCCCATTAAATCCCATTAAAGCCACCATTCCTACTTGAATCCCATCCAAAATCTCTATATAAATCACCATTTCGATTATAAGTTGGTCTACAAAGCCATTATACAACTATAGATATATTTACCATAAACCATAGTTAACTGTTTTTTCTTACATTCCAGTGAATATCACCATGTCTCTTCGTTAAATCCTACCGCTGGACTGAGGAAGAAGAAGAAAACGCTTGGTGAAATGTCAAGACTCCGAGAGTAGCAGTACGGACTGAGTCTTTTGATTTTCATTGCGCCACTTTTTCGTAGTGACCAACTTACGGTGATGGCCACGGGTTTTTCAAGGTGGCCTTAAAGTTTTCATGGGATGTTACATCAAAGTTACAGTAACATACAAGAATAACAGTAACAATAACAGTAAATGATAATATTTACATTAATGCGTGGTATCATACATATACTAATAATCTAGAACATCATCTAATATTGTAGCCACATTAATAACAGTTACGGTTACTGTAAGAATCTATTATAGTAGTATATTCACATTATTATATATTATACACTCATCATTATTACATTAGCGACATTTGTAATCAATACAGTTACATATTTGTTAATAATATTCACCATCCATCATCATATACATTAATACGATTCATACACATAGTATATTCACCATATTATGTCATATATGATATTAGTATATAATATTAATAGATGATGATCATGTCATAAATAACCATAGTATATTCACCATACAGTTTTATAACACATTATTTTATGCTAATAGAAGTGTTGACAAAAAATACTTAACCATTATGTTATTGACATAACCATATATATTGCCATTATAATTGTTATTAACCATATTATAACCATATATAGCCATTATAACCATTATAACCATTATGTCATTTATAACCATATTATTATATATGCATCATATTATGTTATTAACGTCTTATTGACTGCCACATCTGCTTGAACGGAAGAGGATCCGGCAACTTTCAGAGGGATGAGAACTGCAAGTCCCCCCATTTCAGGAACCTCCCATATATATATATATATTATCATATGTAATATACATAACTTTATATGTAATATACATAACTGATCATAACTGGTATACATATAGTGCAACTATGATATGCTATATATATACACTGATATGTTGAATATATATATATATATATTCAATATGTATCATAAGAGACTTACACATAAGTTATTCTTTTAAGTACACCCAAATTAGACTAGTAACAGTTATAACCCACAATTACAACGGGCCTCAAACGGGTCTGGTCGCTACGTGTAGCGTGCAAACACAACCCGCGAGCCGCTGGCATGGCCTCTGCGAAGGCATCGTGGGTGATATCTATGGCGCCTCTGTATAGTCAACAGTATATGGACACGAAAATCACCATTTTTTAATGGGAAAACTCACTATAAATGGCCATTTTCAATAGCTATGTTAGTTTACCAGAGGGTAAATTGAACAGATTCTTGCATTCAAACATTGGGACCACATTTTCGTTTGCATTGATATTTTCCAATTTAAGGAATCGTTCTTTTATAAACATTGTTGGTTGGTGGTTTGGAACATCAATTTTATGGCTTTCCATTCAGTTGGGAATTTCATCTTCCCAACTGACTTTCACTCCATCATTTTTCAGAGGGGTAGGTTGAAACCACCAACCAGATTGGAAAAAAAATCCATCAATTTAAAACGCTTCTTGCATTCCGATCGGCCGAGTGGGCCTTGGACATGTGCCGTTTTGGGAGTTTTCACTGGTTTTTATGGGGATTTTGGGAGGTGGTCGGTTCAAACATCATGTGAAAATTGTAGGTTATGTGATACTAGAGCTACAATGTGGGGCCCCCCAGTTATAAGTTGGTTTATAAACCCCATTAACTATAGTTATAAGTACCATAAACCATAGTTATGGGAGTTATAAACCAACTTAGCTATCTTGGGGGCCCCACATTGTATGGACAATGGCTCATGTGTAGATGATTTATGATGACTTGCCTATTAAAGATGGTGATTTTCCATAGTTACGTTCAATCACCTTAGGGTAGCTGTACATGGAGGAACAAAAAAAAATCCAAGTTGAAGAGAAATCACACCTGGTTTGCTGGAAATGACGCCAGTTTATTGATGGTCTTCCGATTTTCCAGCTAGCCATGTTTGAATTAGTGATGGGTAAGCTCCAAAAACCATGAGCACGTCCGGAGTTGCGGAGCCGTTAGGATTTTCTGTGGGTTTTCTCTTCATGTTTGGCCTAGGACATCCTAGGACCCAACTGGGGCGCCAACCAGATCTGAAGAAATGAGTTCACGACCTCACTGCGACGTCACTGATATGAAAGTTACATAAAGTTACTGGTTGGTGGTTTGGAACATTTTTTATTTTCCATAATATAAAGGATAATCATCCCAACTGACTAATATTTTTCAGAGGGGTTAAAGCCACCAACCAGGTTAATAAGGGGTAACAATCCCAAATGGCGCCTTATTTCAGGTCAGTGCATTCTGGATTGATTTATACCAGTAATACCCTGTGGTTATTTGTTACATAGCCAGATGGCCCATTTATAGAAGATTTTCCCAGCTAGAAACCTCCATTTATGAGGGATTTTCCATGGCTATGTTAAATAACCAGATGGTATATATCATACGTATGCATACAATTACCATTATCCTTGCCGATGATGCTCCCCACAACTCCCTTATGTTTGATAGTTGAATCCTTATTTTTTGTTGAGATATTCCAATTCTTATTGGTGAGACTCCCAGTGTGTACTCTTCATCAACCTGGAAGATCATACAACTTCCCACGCGCCTGCGCGGTGTTTGCAGAACTTATTGCTTTTGCTGTGGCCGAACGCCACGATTCGTCCGATTCCGTGAAGCCAGTCCGATTCGTCGCCAAATGGCCATTAAAAAATAGGGAACATGAGGATCATCCATTGGAATTGGGGGGAGTTCCGATTCACCCCGACATTTTCAGACGAAGAAATCAAATTATGCCATGGAAATTTGGAGAATTTGTTGCTTCAATTTGTTTTGGACGATCGGCGTCAGAAGATGTTAGATCCAGTTTCCATGTTGCTGGTGAATCATCGTGAAACGCGGAATCTGGCCGTTTTCCCACCATTTCACCCATGGATCTGCTCGAGGCTAAGGCCAAATCGAGGCAGATCAAATCTCGCCAAGCACGCGCAATGCTGAGTGGAGATCGTATTGAAACAAGCGATTCATCGACTTGTACAGGATGGTCTCCTCAAAGAAAACAGGATTCAGAATGTCCTTCCTAATATTGAATACACAGCTAGAAAAACGTGATTTGATCATGTTCAATGTTGGATTTGTTCATGCAGGGGGTGGAATTTAAGATTATGAATATTACAACCTATCACCGGGGAGGGCTTACAAGAATGAGGGAAACAATTAGATGGAAATGTGGCAATGGCAAAAACCATGAAATAGATTGAACAGAGAAGAAACATGCATGTCAGTCATGTCAGTCTATTTGATGGTAACCGCATACCTTTTGGAACACAAAAACTAACAGTTTGCTATGCAGCATCATGGCTGTTCATAGGGAAATCATCGAACTAAATGGGCCATGGCTTCGAGTTCGCAAACTATCATTGCCAGAAGGTCATCATGAACGAGTCCCAAGTGGCTGAAACAACAAAGGTCCTGAAACCTAGGTTTCCACCCAGGCTTTGCTTAAAAAGTCTTTGGACATATCTTTGCCTTACAATATCTTACAATCATCGTGACATATCTCTACTTCATCTATGTTCTAGCATGAAAAATCGTCCGCTTTGTAGCTTCTGAAAGTCATGGCAGCTATTTTCCATTGATGCGTTTGGTTTAGTTTTCTGATCTTTCCTAAAACGATCTTCCCAAAAAAAATAAATGGTAAGGAAACACCTGACTTTGGTGGCCTTAAATATCTTTAAATCACCTTCGGCCTTGATTCTAACTGATCAGTTGCTGTAGTTGCTGCTTTTATATGTACAATATATATATATAATATATATATATAATGTATAATATATATATATACATACAATATATATATATATGTATGTATGTTTGATATATCCTAGGCTGAACCTAATATAGATGTGGAGTTACCCATGGCGAAACCCGAGAAGTCAAAGAGTCATCTACAAATCCTTGGTGAAAATCACTCACATATTTTTTCGTTGATGAGAGGGTTGTATGTGCATATAATATCATATAATGTAATCACACATATGTATAGTGTATATTATTGATGATGTTCATGGGATTTAATGGGATTTAGTAATAATATTTATTGGGGATAATGAATCATATAATCATCAACAATCATGTGCATGTAGTGCATGTGTGTGTATATATATATACATATATGTGGTGCATGTGTATATATTTACATAAAATCCACATCAATGTTAAGATACATGTATATTTGTGCAAATATATATATATATATGTAACATTATCCACAGACGCCGCGTGTTGCCCAGACATTAACATTGAGGATGTCGTGTTGTTGAAGAAGATAGGAGAGATTGCAGAAAATACATGAACATACTGCATATACACAGAGTTTTCTGGTTTAGGATTCAAAGTTTTCAAAGTTTCGGTTTTAGGGTTTTTGGGTTTAGGATTTAGGGTTTAGAGCTCGTCGTCTAGGAAATCTCAAAACACTGGCCCTGCGCAGGTGTTTGAGCATGTTGAAGGATAATGCGTAAACGCCATGTGAACTTTCCGGGCAACACGCAGCGCCTGGCCGTTTAATTTATGACCTACCATTAGCCTAGTGAATCATCATCTAGACCGAAATGCTGACAGAACTGCGTGGTTTTCAGCGTTTGGCTATTTCGAATCTTTTGCCCTCCACCAGCATTGCGCCAATTGGATCACCGTCTGCGCCAACTTCGAAAATGGAGTCACCGTGGCAGGTTGGATCCGCTAAGATTTGCTAGGAAAGGGTCGATTTTTTTCACCAAAAATGGGGGATAGCCTGTGGTGTTTTTCAAGCGAAAAAATGGAAAATCAGCATAGCTATCATGCCAACTTACTGTAGAAAGGTGTGATATATCTCAACAGTTCGCCATGGGGTTTATCATACATAATGGTTTATAATGATCTATAAACCAACTTAGGTTTACATATACTAGTAGTAATAATTACTATTATAATGGTTAGTCTATATATATATATATATCCCATATGCTCCATGTATGGTATATTTACCTACATTTGGGCGATTTTTAGGGCAAATGTTGTAAATATTCCATACATGGAGCATATGGGATATATGTAGAAAGCCATTTCCGTGGTGT